ACTAAATTGAATTCGAAACAGACATTCGAAGTGTGCGATTCGTACTGACAACATCGGTTGTTGTGTTCCCGGCGATATTCTGCGGTATTTTTGGACTTGTGATTTTCCTCGGAAGATTCGGACTTGTGCTTTTTTCATCTAAAGAAATATACCAACATTAAACTAGGGTGTAATTCACCCCGGCCGCAGCTCGGCTGATTGAGGTGTTTTATTTCTATTAATTCTCAAGCGAAATTCATATTCATTCCTCACAGTTGGCAAAGACAGGTTACCATCTCAAGAGGACCATGGAAAGTAAATTACAGACTCAGTTCATTTTTATTTAGTCCATTCAAAAAAATGTGCGTGTACAATTTTTTTCCATGAATGGAAATTAAGGATGCCTTATGCTGAAGCATTTCTCTGGGAAATTTGGAGGCATGTCACTATTGTACCAATAGGAGCTCACAGGAAGGCAAAAGCTGATCTTCATCTTGGAGGCTACTTAATACCTGAGGTAATTTATTTTATTATTGAAAGAAATTGACACATCAGAAACAAAAGCCTGCAGCATTGAAGCTGGGTTTTGATGATGATAATCTTTGTTCTTAAAGGGAACTATTATTACAACAGCATTGTATGCCATCCACCATGACCCAAAGAACTTCCAAAATCCAGAAATCTTTGATCCTGAGAGATTTCTTGACAATCATGGAAATCTTGTGAAGAATCCCAAAATTATGCCATTCCAAGCAGGTGAGTCAAATTTTATATACATTTAACAGATTGGCATGTCATTTTAATCCTTTCTCCATCTACATTTCCAGGTAAAAGACAATGTCTTGGGGAAAACTTGGCAAGGATGAACTCCTTTCTTGGATTAGTATATTTGCTGCAGATTTTCAAATTCCAAAAGGCCCCTGGATGCACATACACACTGGATCCAGTTCCTAGGCAAGAAGGAATTCATTGTCCCCAAAAGCACAAACTTTTGGCCATTCCAAGAAACAGCACCAGCTGTTGAAGAACTGAAAATTATTCTGAATTCCAAATCTGTGAAATTTCCAAAAATTGAAGAACTGTCAAAAATGTTGCAAGGTTTATTTGCTGGTTTCAGATGCTGGCTTTTTTGTGTTGTTTGTCTCAATGTCACATGTTGCTGTCGGAATTTGAAATACAGTACATAATTCCTTAAGTAATCTTGCCCACATTCTTTGAAGGCATTGAACTCATTTTTCTCTGGGGTATTAATGCATACATAGATTTGAGTTACAATGACATTTTGTTGTCACATGTCTTTTGGAAACGTTCACAAACTCTTTTTTCTTTCCATCATTCTCCCTTCTTTTTGTGGATCACAGAATTGTATGAAGAAGGAAATCTATTGTTGTCATACACTCCCGATTTTACAACCAATACAAAATGAAATTCATCATTGGCAACCTTCAAGAGGATGATTGATTTGAAGTGTAGACAATATCAAAGATATTTAGATTTGCACCTCTTTTACCAGGTGCGTCTTGGACTGAGTACTTCAAGTACTCAAGACAATTAAATAAACAAAACACAAGTAAGTTTGCTTTACAAGTGTTTTAATCCAGTTTGAACATATATATGCAAAATATAACAAGCCTACTACGGACTCTGTTCCTCTCAGAGGGTATTTTACCAGTGAACTCTACTGGGTTGCACAAGGCCTTTTATTAACTCTAGAAAAACCAGACAGTAGAGGGTCATTGCACCAGCAATGGACATTCTGCCAGACATAGAAAGGAGACACAAAGTATTCCTCAACAATGTATCCCTTTAGAGATTTATGGGGCGGTTGACCACCTGGGGAGAGCTGTAATTACAGCAGGTAAAGATGGAAACAAGGTTACGCACGCATGCATGGCTGTCCCGCATTAATGAGCGGGGCAAGGGAAAGTTAGAGCAATTCAGACCAGCTGACAGCAGTATAAAATGAGTTTCAAACAGTTCTTCTTTACACATTAGCAAACTCGCCTACCCTCTATTTAAAAAAAAATTACTTCAAAAATGTAACTCGTGAAACTCTTCATCTTCAAGTATTGATGGGCTGACATTCTAAAACAAAGTTGAAATTTCAAAAATCAAATTCTCAACTCAAATAACACAAAAGCCAAAGATTTTGAAGCATGCATTTTAAATTATGTAAAGTATATTTATTCTGCCAAATGGTCAGATGCCAGATCTTGAAGAATTCTTCCTTCTTTAATGGATTATTACTAGATTGGTTAGCAAGGAAAGATGTTATTAAAATTTGGACAACACACCTTCTTAATGCATAAGAAAATACAGAATTAATTATTGTTGATAAAACAAGCACAGCTCACATACCTGTTGAATTGCATGTGTAAATAGCAGAAGGTCACTTCCATTTTTATGTTAATATCCTTCTACATATTAAAATTAATGCATGGAAAATAATCATAATGAAAAAATATATTGAGTCTCCATAAAACGAAACAGATGACGTTTTCAAAAACAAAATTATTAATTGCAATTCTGGACTGAAAGGATAAACAATTGCAAGTACAGTAGCTTATGGAAACTTTTAAGTCTCATGAAGATCATTGAGTGAAATTGTCCAAACTTTCTCTTCCAATAACATCAATTTCAAAAGCTTCCTTCAGATTTTTTCAGGCTGCAATAAAAACATGAAGAAAATGCAGTTCAATATATGATAAAGGAGCTTCATGCCCAGATAAACCTAATGTTATCTTCCTATCATAGAATTGGTCTAGCATAACAACAGGGATATTCATAGTGTAAGTACTTTCAGTACAACACAGATAATCATGTGACATGAAATTTGGAAGGTCTATACTGTACACCCATGTGACTTCTGTGATTGAAGATATAAAAGTATCATGTGCTTCATAGTATATCACTAAATTTAACCTCTAGTTTTTCACAGGTTTCTGTTGCTCATGATGTCATATCTTTACAATTTATTCTCTCCACACAGTGTTCCTTAATTGTGGAAATTATCTACAACCTCATTTCTTGCTCAGATTGTCTTCCATCAGAGATAAAGATGGAAATCTCAACAGCATTGGTGATTTTATTTTTGGTGTTGCTTGTGTCCACTTACTTGTCCATGAGGAAACCTTCAACATATCCACCAGGTGATCACAAAGTTAGCATGGCTTTCTAATTAAGACCTTAATCTGATGTCTCAAAATACAATTTATCTTAGGACCCTTCAAATGGCCTTTGGTTGGGACACTTCCTGCTCAACTTATGAGAAGAACTTTTGGAATTTGTTACTGGGAATGGGGTTTGACGTATGGAAAAATTTTCAGGTTTGTAAGGAATTTATTGGGAGGACGTATTAGACTTTATATGTGTAATGAGGCTTTTTTCAGCATACAAGTTGGACAACTGGAAGCTGTAGTGGTGACTGATTTTGACCTGGCTAAAGAGGCAAATGCCAAGGAGGAACTTTCTGAAAGACCTCAATTTTATTTCCTGCACTTCCTCATGAAATTCAAAAATGCAGGTGAATGAAATTGTCTGACAACCAAAATTGATTCACTTGGTACCAGAAATGTACTACTGATCTGCAAAATTTTGGGAGGACTGAAACTTGATATTGATTACCATATGTTACCTGTTTTTGACTGAGAGTTTTTCAGATTAACACTAACTTTGGCATAGGAATTCCTTTGCCGTCAATTATCTTACACTTTTCAGACTGAGTTTTACTTGAAATGTGAGTTAAATCCAAAAAATATTTCATTATGTGGATTTTTAAATTTCAAGTCCACTAGATTAAGTAAAAATCATCATCATACTGTCTACTCTTTGGCTTCAGGACTGATATTTTCAAATGGTCAGGATTGGAAAACCAGGAGAAGATTCACACTGAAAAACTTGAGGGACTTCGGATTTGGAAAATCCTCCATGGAGCAACTGATCCTTGATGAGATGCGACATCTAGCAGATTCAATCAATGTTAGCAAAAATCCAACGGGAGCCATTGTAGAGCTTGATGCAGGATTGAATGCTGCAGTGGGAAATGTCATCTGGTGGATTGCAGCAAGTAATTAATTTCCACTGTGTCTCAGGGATAACTTTTTGTTCATTATTCTTTCACTTCTGTTTAAGAAAAATATATAAAATTATTAGTCCAGGTTCTGGGCAGATAATATAAATTGTTTGTCACCACTTGACAGAAAAGGAGTGCTTAAAGTTGTCACCTGAAGTCTCTCTTGATAAGGATATTATTGAGTTATTGACACAGGAAATTTTCTGTTCCAATATTCATGCTTTTGTCACTGTACATGCAAATACAGTACAGTATAAATGAATCTTTTCAACCGATGCTTCCTCAATATTCCTCAAAGATGGATCATGGTTTTGATTCTCAGACCATCAGAATTGAATTTGACTTTCAATAATTGTAGAATTCTGACAGACACAAATCAATATGATTTTTATTCCATTTCCATAGGCAGAAGAGTTGACAGCAAGGACACTGAGCTCAAGAACATTCTAGCAACTATGGAAACCATTGCTAAATTTGACATTTCAAAAATAATTGCATTCATCCCAGCAATCAAGCCATTTGTTCCTGATTTCATATTGGGGAGGAAACAAAGACTTAAGCAAAGGAACAGTGTCTATGACTACATGCAAGTGGGTGATTATGGATGCAATTCAAATCAAACTAAGTTTGATATCTGTGAAGATATTTTGTATGAATTACACACATTATTCACCTGTGCTACTCTTGTAAGTAACATTTTGATTACATCTGATGAAAACAGGGATGCATTGATGAGCACAGACACACCATTGACCCAGCTGAACCCAGGGATCTCATTGACTGCTACATCATTGAGCAGCAGAGGTTGAGAAAAAATGGAGAAGATGATTCTTATTTTGAAGGCAAGTGCCAAAATATTTCCCTTTTATTGGTCTGAATAGTGATGAATCTGGTTACAAATACAGATGATAAACTGGCATGGTCACTGGCTGACCTGTTCCTTGCTGGAGCAGAAACAACTGCAACCACACTCAGATGGACCATTTTGTACCTCATTGAGTTCCCAGAAATCCAGGCAAAGCTCCACAAAGAGATTGACAATGTAGTTGGCAAAGACAGATTGCCTTCCCAAGAAGACCATCCCAAGTGAGCTGAAGTTAATCAATGTCAAGTGAGTCCATTTATCCTAATTATTGCTTGCAAAATAGAATGCCCTATGCTGAAGCAGTCTTGTGGGAAATTTGGAGATATGTCACAATTGCACCAATGGGAGCTGACAGAGTTGCCAGAGAAAATATTCAGCTAGCTGGTTACATCATACCAAAGGTGAGAAACTTTAGAAACTTGTTATCCCCAGAAACATTCCTCATACCTTTTGAGTTTTCCTCAGCTTATTAATTGCCTTCTAAAATGTTTTTCAAGCACCATTTCCTTGTTTTTGTTTCTCTCTTCTGCAATAAACCATTAAACCAAGTGCAAGTTGACGCAAATTTGACTGTCAAGTTGCAGGACAGACAAATTGCATGAGGTTGAATTGCAAAATACCACCTGTTCTGTTATGTGCTTCAGAATTGATCCAAAGCTTCATATGATTTTTTCTCAGGAAGCCTTGCATTATCATTTAGCAAGTCTTCTTAGAATGCATCAGTTGTCTCACTAATGTATTTTTTCCACAAATATTTCTTGAGTACTGTATCTATATTTCTTCATATAGTAGGGACAACAAACTCAAGAAAAAAACATTAAAAAAATTATAAATCATGCCGTGCATGAGAACTGGGAACGTTCAATCACAATTCATGACATGCAAATGCCCTTTTTCAAAAACTTTCTATAGTGAAATCACTCAATTTTTTCTGAAAATGAAGGGAACAATTGTCATCACAGCACTCTATGCAATTCATCATGATCCAAAGAATTTCAAGAATCCAGAGATCTTCCATCCTGAACGGTTTCTGGATGAAGATGGAAATCTCATCAGAAACCCAAAAATCATGCCTTTTCAAGCAGGTGAGTTCAACCATTTTGTCAGTAGATGAATATAAACTTTTTGTATTTTTTTACAATGACCAATTTTTCAGGAAAACGACAATGTTTGGGAGAAACTCTGGCAAGAATGAATGCTTTCCTGGGATTGGTTTACTTGCTGCAAACATTCAAATTTGAGAAAGTGCCAGGATTTCACTACACCTTGGAGCCAAAATGGAGAGAAGATCCTATTCATGCTCCAGAGCCATACAAAGTCCTTGCGATTCCCAGAAACATAAATTGATTTTTCACCTTATGGAATAAACACTGAAATAAATCATGTCAAAAATATGGTGTCTGCATCCTTTTATTCTAACTTGCAATATATACTCATTATGTGCCCATGCCATAACATAATTCTACTGTTTTACCATATGCTTTCCACAGCTTGTATGAGATTTTTACAACATTAGGAAAGATTGACCTAATAATCTGAATAAGGAATGTGCGTTTAGAATTGCCAGAATAAAATAGCTTATAAATTCAAAATTTGTTCGCTTTGCACAGCATTTCAAATTCCTTTGGAGAAAAAAGAGGTTAGCAACTTATATGAATGGGAATTTATTTTTAGATTAAACTTGTGTTGAAATTCAATCTGGCTGGATGAGATAAATCTACCAAGGATGGAAAATTCGTGATTTTCAATACTTCTGAGACTGAAAAATAGAGCATTTTGATTTTGAAACACATACAGAAACCTTCACCAAATTGATTTTCATGGAAGTCACAAACAAACCAAATGATTGCAGTAAGTGATGTCACTCAATGCTCTGCAGAAAAGGAAGGAGAATCAAATTTTCCAGACAGGAGAGTGGATGGCAAAGACACTGAGGTGAAGAACATCCTGGAAACAATTGATAGTCTCAGTCACTTTGACCTGACAAACATAATATCTCTCATACCAGCACTGAAGCCATTTTTTCCTGATTTCATGCTGAATCATGAAAGAGACTCAAAAGAAGGACAAGAGTTTATGACTACATGCAAGTGAGTGAAAGTAATCTGCTCAAGATCAAATAAATATAATTTTCTCATATACAAACCAAATTTTGCTCTGTTGATTTCATATTCAGATGTATCACTAATATCTTAGCATCTTGGTCAATTTTGGAGAATTATCAATATCTGATTCTAATGTCAGTTAATCATAGAGATTCATTTGATGCATGCAGGGACTCATTGATGAACACAGGCGCACTGTTGATCCAACTGAACCCAGAGACCTCATTGATTGTTGCATCATTGAGCAGCAGAGGTTGAGAGAAAGTGGAGAGGATGATTCTTGCTTTGAACGCAAGTGTCAGAAATCACTTCTGAGTTATGACATACTTGAATCAGCATTGGTACTTTGGAAAACCCAAACATGTTTTGACTGATGGAATCACAGATGATAAGCTGGCATGACTCTGGCTGACCTTTTCATAGCTGGTTCAGAAACCACAGCCACCACTCTTAATCTCATGAAGATCGTTGTGTGAAATTATCTAAACTTTCTCTCCCAAGAACTTATCAATTGCAAAAGCTTCCTTCAGATTTTTTCAGGCTGCAATAAAAACAGGAAGAAAATGCAGTTCAATATATGATAAAGGAGCTTCATGCTCAGATAAACCTAATGTTATCTTCTTATCATGGAATTGGTCTATGTATAGCATAACAAGAGAGATATTCATAGTGTGAGTACAACACAGATAATCATGTGACATGAAATTTGGAAGCTCTATGCTGTACACCCATGTGACTTCTGTGATTGAAGATAATAAAAGTAACATGTGCTTCATAGTATATCACTAAATTTAACCTCTAGTTTTTCACAGGTTTCTGTTGCTCATGATGCCATATCTTTACAATTTATTCTCTCCACACAGTGTTCCTTAATTGTGGAAATTATCTACAACCTCATTTCTTGTTCAGATTTTCTTCCATCATCAGAGATAAAGATGGAAATCTCAACAGCATTGGTGATTTTATTTTTGGTGTTGCTTGTGTCCACTTACTTCTCCATGAGGAAACCTTCAACATATCCACCAGGTGACCACAAAGTTGACATGGCTTTTTAATTAAGATCTTCATTTGATGTTTCAAAATTCCATTTATTTTAGGACCCTTCAAATGGCCTTTGGTTGGGACACTTCCTGCTCAACTTATGAGAAGAACTTTTGGAATTTGTTACTGGGAATGGGGTCTGATGTATGGAAAAATTTTCAGGTTTGTCAGTAATTTGTTGGGAGGACATTTCAGACTTTATAACATGTAAAGAAGCTTTTTGCAGTATACAGGTTGGACAACTGGATACTGTAGTGCTGACTGATTTTGACCTTGCTAAAGAGGCCAATGCCAAGGAGGAACTTTCTGATAGACCTCAATTTGATTTTGTGCATTTCCTCATGAAATACAAAAATGCAGGTAAATGAAATTGTCTGACAAACCAAAATGTATTCCTTTGGTGCCATAAATGTACCAATAATCTGCAACATTTTTGGAGGACTAAAACATGATACAGCATTGATCACCATGTGACATATTTTTGACTGGGAGTATTAACACTTATTTTGGCATAGGAATTCCTTTGCTGTCAATTTTTCTAATGTTTTCACACTGAGCTTTACTTGAAGTGAGTTGAATACAAAGATTATTTCATTATCTTGATTCAAACAAAATTACGTTAAGGCCACTATATAAGGTAAAAATCATCATCATATACTTTTTCGCTTCAGGACTGATCTTTTCAAATGGTCAGGATTGGAAAACCAGGAGAAGATTCACACTGAAAAACTTGAGGGACTTTGGATTTGGAAAATCCTCCATGGAGCAACTGATCCTTGATGAGATGCGACATCTAGCAGACTCAATCAATGTTAGCAAAAACCCAAAGGGAGCCATTGTAGAGCTTGATGCAGGATTGAATGCAGCAGTGGGAAATGTCATCTGGTGGATTACAGCAAGTAATTAATTTCCACTGTGTCTCAGATATAACCTTTCTTTCATTATTTTTCACTCCTGTTTAGCAAAAAAAATTGAAAATTACTTGTCCAGGTTTCGAGCAGATGATATAAATTGTTTTCACCTGTTGAAAAAAATGAGTGCTTATAGTTGTTTCCTGAAGTCTGTCTTTAGTAAGGATACTATTGAATTATTGGCACAGGAAATTTTCTGTTGTAATATTTATGATTTTACTACGCACTGTCCATTCAAATACAGTACCAATGAATATTTTCTACTGATGTTTGAATATTCCTCAAAGAGGGATAATGGTTTTGATTCTCAGACCATGAGAATTGAATTTGACTTTCAATAATTGTAGAATTCTGACAGACACAAATCAATATGATTTTTATTCCATTTCCATAGGCAGAAGAGTTGACAGCAAGGACACTGAGCTCAAGAACATTCTGGAAACCATTGAAACCATTACTAAATTTGACATATCAAAAATAATTGCATTCATCCCAGCAATCAAGCCATTTGTTCCTGATTTCATACTGGGGAAGAAAGAAAGAGTTGAGCAGCGGAACAGTGTCTATGACTACATGCAAGTGGGTGATTATGGATGCAATTCAAATCAAACTAAGTTTGATGTCTGTGAAGATATTTTGTATGAATTAAACACATTTTTCACCTGTGCTACTCTTGAGAGTAAAACTTTGAATACAACTGTTGAAAACAGGGATGCATTGATGAACACAGACGCACCATTGACCCAACTGAACCCAGGGATCTCATTGACTGTTATATCATTGAACAGCAGAGGCTGAGAAAAAGTGGAGAAAATGATTCTTATTTTGAAGGCAAGTGCCAAAATATTTCATTTATCTTGGTCTGAATGTTGATGAACCTGGTCCTAAAACTGCAGATGATAAATTAGCATGGTCACTGGCTGACCTGTTCATTGCTGGAGCAGAAACAACTGCAACCACACTCAGATGGACCATTTTGTACCTCATTGAGTTCCCAGAAATCCAGGCAAAGCTCCACAAAGAGATTGACAATGTAGTTGGCAAAGACAGATTGCCTTCCCAAGAAGACCATCCCAAGTGAGCTGAAGTTAATCAATGTCAAGTGACCCAGCAATCAAGCCATTTGTTCCTGATTTCATACTGGGGAAGAAAGAAAGAGTTGAGCAGCGGAACAGTGTCTATGACTACATGCAAGTGGGTGATTATGGATGCAATTCAAATCAAACTAAGTTTAATGTCTGTGAAGATATTTTGTATGAATTACACACGTTATTCACCTGTGCTACTCTTGAGAGTAACACTTTGAATAAAACTGTTGAAAACAGGGATGCATTGATGAACACAGACGCACCATTGACCCAACTGAACCCAGGGATCTCATTGACTGTTATATCATTGAACAGCAGAGGCTGAAAAAAAGTGGAGAAAATGATTCTTATTTTGAAGGCAAGTGCCAAAATATTTCATTTATCTTGGTCTGAATGTTGATGAACCTGGTCCTAAAAATGCAGATGACAAATTGGCATGGTCACTGGCTGACCTGTTCATTGCTGGAGCAGAAACAACTGCAACCACACTCAGATGGACCATTTTCATGGAGTAACTCAAGGGTCTTTAGGTCCGTTTCGAGGTGTTTCTCTAACTGTTACATCAACCGTTTCTGTCTAACGGAAGCCAAGAAGACCATCCCAAGTGAGCTGAAGTTAATCAATGTCAAGTGGAATCCGTTTATCCTAATTTTTGCTGGCAAAATAGAATGCCTTATGCTGAAGCAGTCTTGTGGGAGATTTGGAGATATGTCACAATTGTACCAATGGGAGCTGACAGAGTTGCCAGAGAAAATATTCAGCTAGCTGGTTACATCATACCAAAGGTGAGAAACTTGAGAAACTTGTTATCCCAGAAACATTCATCATGAGTTTTTCTCAGCTTAATTACCTTTATTAATTTTTTTCAAGCACCATTTCCTTATTTCCATTTCTCTCTTCTGCATTAAATCATCTCTAGCCCTGGCCCTCTTTTCTTTGCCAATATCCTACTTTACTGACATCTGTGACAGATGGCAATGACTTGCCAACCAATGTCAAATTTTATGTAGAAAACATCAAATTTGAAAATGTCTTGCAATTCAACCACTTTGCAATTTGACCTTTACTTGGAAATGGATTAGGGTGGAATTGCATGGCCCCAAAATTTGACCCTAATCCTTTGCTGGGCTAGGGTCAAATTGCAAGAAAGTGGAAAATTCCATGAAAGGACAACTAACTCAAGAAAAAATATAACAAATTTCAAATCATGCCTTGCATGAGAACTGGGAACGTTCAATCACAATTCATGACATGCAAATGCCCTTTTTAAGCACTTCCTATAGGTGAAATAACTCATGCTTTTTTTCTGAAAATAAAGGGAACAATTGTCACCACAGCACTGTATGCAATTCATCATGATCCAAAGAATTTCAAGAACCCTGAAATCTTCAATCCTGAACGGTTTCTGGATGAAGATGGAAATCTCATCAAAAACCCAAAAATTATGCCTTTTCAAACAGGTGTGTTTTACGGTTTTACCATAGTCTCAGCTGAGAAGGAATAGCTCATTTATTCATTTCTTCATTTTTACTTCACATTTTTTTCAGGAAGGAGACAATGTTTGGGAGAAACTCTGGCAAGAATAAATGCTTTTCTGGGATTGGTTTACTTGCTGCAAACATTCAAATTTGAGAAAGTGCCAGGATTTCACTACACCTTGGAGCCAAAAAAGAGAGAAAATCCTATTCATGCTCCTGAGCCATACAAAGTCCTCGCCATTCCCAGAAACATTCATTGACTTTTCAGTTTTCGGAATAAAAACTGAAATAAATCATGTCGAAAATATGGTGTGTGCATCCTTTTTCTAACGTAATATGTACTCATGATGATGTGCCCATAAAATAATTCTGTCATATCATACACTTTTCACAGCTTGCATATGGCATTTTTCCAACATTAAGAAAGATTGACATAATAATATGATGAAGGAACATGGGTTTAGAATTTCCACAAGAAAATAAGTTTTGCAGTCAAAATTTGAAGGCTGTGTGTAGCATTTGATTTTCCTTTGGAAATAAATACATGTTGCCACCTTATATAAAATATGAATTTGTTTCAAAATTAAATTTGTTTAAAAGTTCAATCTTTCTTTGTGATCAACATCTCCCAAAGAAGGAATGTTTTTGGTGTTTTTCAATTTTTCCAAGAATTATAATAGACCCTTTTGATTTTGAAACACATACAGAAACCTTCCCCAAATTGATTTTCATGGAAGGTTCACCCAGGAAGTCACACACACACACACACACACACACACACACACACACACACACCAAATGATTGGAGTAAGTGAAGTCACTCAATATTCTGCAGAAAAGGGAAGAGAATCAGACAAAAGCTGAGGGTGTCTCTCTCCCTCTTGATCAGGTTGATGCCCTGGGAGGGTTTGCTGCTGGGAACAGTGAACTGGGATGGCCTTGGTAAAAAAAAAAAAACTGCTTGTTGCTACCACAGTAACTGTATACTGTATACATGTGTGCCTGAATACCATCACTTGATGTTGAAAAAATCTGATGGTATCTGCGTCACAATTCTGGGAGACCCTGAGTTGGAATGTTTCTGAGTGCTGGTGAAATGGCTGTTTTGGAAAAGATACTTTTATCTTGTTACTGTACTCTATCGACAATAAGAAACATCGCATATGTGCGAGGATGATAACATTTTTTGTGTGTCTAAAATTAAGCAGAAATCATTGAGTGGAAATAAGTGAAGAACTAGGCTTGAAAGTATATATTGGAAACTCAGCATGTATGACTCCTATACTTATCTATTTTTTGCTCTTTTTACTACAAAGTGTTCTATCAACAATAAAGTGTTTGAAATGTTTCCTCCATTTCCTGCTGATGCTGCACCAAACGCGAGTGTCAATATTTTTCTTGAATCTCTATATAGAATTATTATTCATCATCAGCTGTTATTAATTGAATCATCATCAATGGAATTTGGATAATGTACAGGTTTTTTTGAAATCAAAATGAATTCAGTCAGTAAAAATTATATTTCAGGGCCATTCCTTATATACTGTACATCAATTTTGAAATTCATCACATTCCTGGAGTTAATTATTATTTTTTACTTTAAAAACAATTTTCCTTTTTCAAAGCCAAATTGAATCATGGTCTCAGTTTATTATTTTTTTGTGTGCAGAAGTGTGAAGATGGAGCTCTTTACAGCTCTATTGGCTACTTTCATGGTCCTTGTGGTTATGACTTACTTGTCAAAAAAGAAACCATCCACATACCCACCAGGTAAACTGAATTAAAGATTCAAATTACAGTGGAATATTATACAATATGCATTATTACGTACTGTTTGCAAAGATTTGACAGAATTTGACATTTTATTTCCATAGGTCCCATCAAGTGGCCCTTGGTTGGGACTCTTCCTGCTCAACTCATGAGCAGAACTTTGGGTATTGGCTACTGGGAATGGGGGCTGAAGTACGGAAAAATTTACAGGTTGGTCAAGAACCACTCTGCTGGCCATCAATTCACAGATATTTTTGGATTTATATTATGAAGAGCCTTTTTCAGTATTCAACTTGGACAACTTGATGTTATAGTGCTTACTGATTTTGACTTGGCTAAAGAGGCCAATGCCAAGGAAGAACTTGTGGACAGGCCACAGTTTGACTTCTGGCACTTCTTCATGAAGTACAAGAATGCAGGTCAGTGCATCAGTGTCTTCTTTTGAAGCTCTGTAGCCCTCTGACCATTGTTGCAGGAAAATCATGTGTGGAACCTTTGGAAAACATGTGCTGCTATTTAAACTACTTCCTATGTATAGTTATGGAGTTTCATACAAAATATTCCAACTCATTTACAATATTATATATCCTTTTATAGGATATATGAAGCACAGTCAAATAATTTTTTGAATTTGTCAAGTGACTTATCAAAGCATCTTTCTTTTCATTTCAGCTTTATACTTTATGTATAGTGTATACTGTATAAAAATGTATGAATATTTTTATTCCAAAAAAATCATGTCATTTTCGAGTCATATGTGCTTCATTGAAAGCTGCAATTTTGCATCATGTGCTTGATGCTCTTCAGATGAAGAGTGATGTTCATCTGTACATTTGGAATGAATGTCACTCAATATAAAAAGCTAATCTTATATAATTCAGCATGAGATTTGTCAAATTCCGCATTTTAAAAATTATGAATTGCTTCAAGATTTGTTGAACAGTACGTCTGAACTTGTCCATGCTAACATGTGTCATATTATCTATAAGGTTTTTTTGCAATGATGTTCTGTTTTAGGACTGATCTTTGCCAATGGCCAAGATTGGAAGGTTAGAAGAAGGTTCACACTCAAACATCTCAGAGACTTTGGATTTGGAAAATCCTCCATGGAGCAATTGATTCTTGATGAGATGCGACATCTGGCTGATTCAATCAACACTGAAAAAAACCCAAAAGGATCCATTGTGGAGCTGGATTCAGGATTGAATGCTGCTGTGGGCAATGTCATCTGGTGGCTCACAGCAAGTAAAAAAATTTCACTCCATTTTCACAAGAAAAATAAACATCACATGTGACACATAGTCTTAGGGCTGCTTCTCATTAGAAAAAATATAGGGCCATAAAATTAGATTTCAAATGAGTGGCTTTTATTACAGAAGAGTAAAAGGAAATATATATATATATATATATATATATACAGTACTTGATGATGATGATAAATGTGTTTTATTATTTTCTTGTTGCTATACAGAAGGTTCAAAATGTTCTGTCCCATCCTCCCTCCCACACACACACATACATTCAAAAATGAGAATTAAGTCAAAATTGTCTTCCGTAGACCAAGGTAAATAAAGTATAAAAGTCAAAATTAAAATGTATACTTCAAATATATTCAATTCACAAAATATTTGTACAATCACACAAACATAAAAATAGAGAGCTTCGAGAGAGTCTTGCTAAAACGTTCTGCAAGTCTCTCTGTGAAATAACCACAAATGACTCTAGATTAATTCTGGAGAAATATGTGGGAAGGAAGGTATATTTATACCTTCCTGGAAACATAAAATATAGAGGCGGAATATTTGCCTGGATTGAGGAACTGTGAGTTCCTTGAAAACTGATGAATATATATACATCCGGGTATATATATATAAATATAAATAATATATACACTTGTGAGTTCAACAGAATAGGCTTCTCCTAAATTGGCAGTTTAGAAGAAGGCAGTGCAAGTCATTTATCACTGTTGATAAATAGCAAGTTGAAAAGGAGAAACGCGCAATAACAACTGTCACGCATTAATGTGGGCTGACGTGATGAGAGAGGGGGAACCAAAACAAAAGGGAAACAGCTGCAAGGAAACAAATACCTTGTTGAGAAGGATCTCCTTCAAAATAAGGAGAAACAAAAATAATCGCAATTTGGTTTCTGGGGTACAAAATTTACATCACAATAAAGTGCATGCAAGTGCCTTCATTTTTTAAACCTTTTTCAAATAAAAATATGCATACTGCTATATTTCATTTTCAAGTCTACTGAGATCTAAAAAAGCCATATACAATGATTCAGTTTGCTTGTATTGCTTGAATTGCTACAGTATTAATGCCAAATCAATGTAATGAATTCCAATCACATTTTCCAGACAGGAGAGTGGATGGCAAAGACACTGAGATGAAGAACATCCTGGAAACAATTGATAGTCTCAGTCACTTTGACCTGACAAACATAATATCTCTCATACCAGCACTGAAGCCATTTTTTCCTGATTTCATGCTGAATCATGAAAAGAGACTCAAAAGAAGGACAAGAGTTTATGACTACATGCAAGTGAGTGAAAGTAATCTGCTTAAGATCAAATAAAAATAATTTTCTCATATACAAACCAAATTTTGCTCAGTTGATTTCATATTCAGATGTCTCACTAATATCTTAGCTAGAACCAGTTAAAACTTCTTAATAGTTATAGACTAAGATTACAGTCAATTAGTATCTCTAAGTAAACTACGTACGTCCCTGAGTAACTACTTGTGTCCGCGTGACAACTAGGTTGACTTGGGTCTCACCTCATTGATTGTTGTATCATTGAGCAGCAGAGGTTGAGAGAAAGTGGAGAGGATGATTCTTGCTTTGAAGGCAAGTGTCAGAAATCACTACTGAGTTATGACATGCTTGAATCAGCATTGGTACTTTGGAAAACCCAAACATGTTTTGACTGATGGAATCACAGATGATAAGCTGGCATGGACTCTTGCTGACCTTTTCATAGCTGGTGCAGAAACCACAGCCACCACTCTTAATCTCTTGAAGATTGTTGTGTGAAATTATCTAAACTTTCTCTCCCAATAACTCATCAATTTCAAAAGCTTCCTTCAGATTTTTTCAGGCTGCAATAAAAACAGGAAGAAAATGCAGTTCAATATGTGATAAAGGAGCTTCATGCTCAGATAAACCTAATGTTATCTTCTTATCATAGAATTGGTCTATGTATAGCAAAACAACAGAGATATTCATAGTGTGAGTAGAACACAGATAATCATGTGACATGAAATTTGGAAGCTCTATGCTGTACACCCATGTGACTTCTGTGATTGAAGATAATAAAAGTAGCATGTGCTTCATAGTAAATCACTAAATTTAACCTCTAGTTTTTCACAGGTTTCTGTTGCTCATGATGCCATATCTTTACAATTTATTCTCTCCACACAGTGTTCCTTAATTGTGGAAATTATCTACAACCTCATTTCTTGTTCAAATCTTGGTCAATTTTGAAGAATTATCAATATCTGATTCTAATGTCAGTTAATCATAGAGATTCATTTGATGCATGCAGGGACTCATTGATGAACACAGGCGCACTGTTGATCCAACTGAACCCAGAGACCTCATTGATTGTTGTATCATTGAGCAGCAGAGGTTGAGAGAAAGTGGAGAGGATGATTCTTGCTTTGAAGGCAAGTGTCAGAAATCACTTCTGAGTTATGACATGCTTGAATCAGCATTGGTACCTTGGAAAACCATAACACATTTTGACTGATGGAATTACAGATGATAAGCTGGCATGGACTCTGGCTGACCTGTTCATAGCTGGTGCAGAAACCACAGCAACCACTCTTAGATGGACCATTTTGTACCTCATCTCATACCCAGAAGTCCAAGTAAAACTTCATCAAGAAATTGACAAAGTAGTTGGCAAAGACAGACTGCCCTGCCAAGAAGATCGCACTAAGTGAGCCAAGGGTTCAACAGGTGCCTTAAAATGAGGCAAAAATATGTGTGATAATATTTTTTCCTGTTAAAACAGAATGCCTTATGCTGAAGCAGTTTTATGGGAGATTTGGAGACATGTTACAATTGTACCTGGTGGAGCAGAGAGACTTGCAAGCCAAGATATTCCACTTGGTGGCTATATTATTCCAAAGGTGAGAGGCTTGTGAATATGTACAGCATATGCATTTGAAGAATCAGACCTTTAAAAAATTGAAAAGAGATGAAATTAAATTGCACTATAGTCTTTCAGACCTGCCCAACCTGTCTTTTCATGTAGCTCACATATTCTTACTGTGAAATCCTTTCCCAATAATTACACTCCCCTGTAACTAAATTTTACAAATTTTTAGTAAGGCTCTAACTTTTTTGCAGAGTTTTTCATTGTTTCCAGGGACTTACGCAGTGTTTGCTTCTCATTAGGAAGACCTTACCAAAAGTATGCAGATCAACACAGCACATGAAGTTATATTGCCTTTGACGGGCCTGTTTTTTTTTATCAGAAGTTTAAATGAATGAATGAACAGAAAACTTTATTTGCAACTTTTCAGCATTCACAAGGAATAACCAGAACTCCCGCATCCAAACCCCCTCTGGGTTCAGTTGGATCAACAGTGCGCCTGTGTTCATCAATGAGTCCCTGCATGCATCAAATGAATCTCTATGATTAACTGACATTAGAATCAGATATTGATAATTCTTCAAAATTGACCAAGATGCTAAGATATTAGTGATACATCTGAATATGAAATCAACTGAGCAAAATTTGGTTTGTATATGAGAAAATTATTTTTATTTGATCTTAAGCAGATTACTTTCACTCACTTGCATGTAGTCATAAACTCTTGTCCTTCTTTTGAGTCTCTTTTCATGATTCAGCATGAAATCAGGAAAAAATGGCTTCAGTGCTGGTATGAGAGATATTATGTTTGTCAGGTCAAAGTGACTGAGACTATCAATTGTTTCCAGGATGTTCTTCATCTCAGTGTCTTTGCCATCCACTCTCCTGTCTGGAAAATGTGATTGGAATTCATTACATTGATTTGGCATTAATACTGTAGCAATTCAAGCAATACAAGCAAACTGAANGCACAACAACGTCCAAATAATAATCTAAGAGCTCTAATGCTACATGATTTTGGCATGTGAAAAAACCATCTGTAAAACAGGTTCTGTAATGTATCCATTTTTCTGAGAAGGCAATGTTCTGGCCATATTTCTAGCCCATATAGTGCAGCTGCCCATACCAAGGAGTCAAAAAACCTCAATGCCATTTTTGTGTCTTTTAACTCCAATTTACTTAGAACATTACATAATGTTATTAATCTGGAACATCCTACATTGAAGTTGTTCATGATGTGACTTGTTGCGTGACAACCATTTTGCAAGCCTTCAAGATAATCCATCATGAGAAGTTTAAAGAGGAGTATCTTTTATTCATCCAATGCAATGTTGAAATTCAAGTTCCAAACAATTCAGCAGTTTGGGATCTTATTGTTCAATTATTTTATGTAAAACATACATACAGTAATGGCTTACCTTTTGAAGGCAACCCATGGGCACGTATAACTACTTGGGAATAACTGGTAATCACTGAAACCACCAATTTCAGGGAACCATTGTCACCACTGCACTGTATGCAATCCATCATGATCCAAAGAATTTCAAGAACCCTGAAATCTTCTATCCTGAAAGGTTCTTGGGTGAAGATGGAAATCTCATTAAAAACCCAAAAATCATGCCTTTTCAAGCTGGTGAGTTTTTAGCCATTTTCTCTTTGAATACAAATTGCCCCTTTAAAAAAAATTATATACATTTTTTCCAGGAAAAAGGCAATGCTTGGGAGAAACTCTGGCAAGGATGAATGCCTTCTTGGGCTTGGTTTACTTGCTGCAAACATTCAAATTTGAGAAAGTGCCAGGATTTCACTACACCTTGGAACCAAAGAAGAGAGAAGAGGTTGTTCATATGTCAGAATCATACAAAGTCCTTGCCATTCCCCGGATTCTTAACTAATCATTTTTAGAGCAGAAATTACAATATTCCAAATCTTGTAACCAATTGGTGATTTGCGTTGGAGTGACAAGTGAATTGTACGAATTCCTTTCTAAAACATTTGAAGGCATTGATAGTGGCTGATTTGGATATTTTCATTTCAAAATACATTGCTCATATTCTGTTTTTTAATGCTTTCTCATATTTGAGTTTATTTTGAGAAGCCTCAGCCGCATCACAGTGCTTAGAATAATGTACAGTACATGTGTGACTGATTGAGCTAGGAAAAATTTTAAAAATTGAGTTTACCATATATATCCATTTGATGGGCTGGAATTTTATTTTTCCAAAATGAGAGTTTGAGGGACAGCTTCAAACACTTTAGACTTCAAGCAGATCCTGTATTGTATAATATAAGATTTTTTATTTCAAATTGTTGGAACAAATACATTTTGACGCTTTAATCTCCAACCAGCAGATTTACTTTCATCAGAATTCCAAATTTACCCAACACAATTTGAAATGTCCAAATAACATCCATATACACCCTGTCTGTTATTGCATAAAAGCATGCCTCCAAAAAAGGATTTGTTTTTTACCTCCCCTTTTTAAATCAGCTGCTTCTGAGCCTGAGGGCAATAACACTCACATTCCACCTTGGCAAACCCATGCCCGCCTGTCTGGGGCAAAGTACAGTATTATTCATTATTCATTCATTGTACAGTATTATTATAATTCAGTACATTTTTCAGTGTACAATTTGGACAGCATGACATTGTAGTACTAACTGACTTTGACCTGGCTAAAGAGGCCAATGCCAGGGAAGAGCTTGTGGACAGACCACAGTTTGACTTTTACCACTTTTTCATGAAGTACAAAAATTCAGGTAAGTTTAAACAATACATATTTAATCTCTGTGAAGCATCTTTTTAACCAAATTCTTTTTAACATAACGATTTCCCATGCATGACATTGACAAATGAAAAAGAAGGGGCCTTTTCAGGAGCTTACTTTGCAGTGCTTTAGAACTTTACTATGCTAACTTTTCTTAGTGTCAAGGATGTTTTTATTTTTGTGATCATGCTCTGTGTCAGGGCTGATCTTTGCCAATGGCCAAGATTGGAAGGTAAGAAGAAGATTCACACTCAAACATCTCAGAGCCTTTGGATTTGGAAAATCCTCCATGGAACAACTGATTCTAGATGAGATGCAACATCTAGTTGATTCAATCAATGTCAGCAACGGCGATACTTCAAGAACATTGGGGATCCATTGGGACCAAGCTCAACCTCAAGTTCCCATCAGATTTGGAATTCTTGGGGAAATCCTTTTAAAAGGATAATGCTCAGGGACAAAAAAAATGCCATAGAAAGAAAATTGTTTAAATAGTGAATTGCTTCTGTATTGGATCATCAGTCGCTTCTGTGTCATCTTACACAGAAGACTGCTTGTCAAACTGCTGTCCAAATCAATCAAATCTAATACCCAAAAATATATCAACCTTACACTAGGGTGTCAAGCACCCCAGCTGCAGCCTGGCTGATTGTGTCTAAAAAACTTCATTTCGTATTTTACAAAAAGGGATTCAAGTCAAAATCTACAAATCAAATTACTGTTTCTAACACTATTTTTGAAAATGATACCATACAATTTTGCATCAAAATGAATGGTTTTAGTTTTGGAGGAGCTAAATATGTTTTACATGCAAGTGCTTTATATATGAGATACTATGTTCTATTTTGTTCAGTTGTATTAACTACATTTTAGAAGTTATGTAAGTTAATATGATGAATTGATTTTTAATTTCTCAGAGAGAAGAGTGGAAAGCAAAGACACTGAGCTGAAATATGTCTTGGAAACTTTTGATTGTCTCTGCCACTTTGACATGGCAAACATACTTTCTTTCATTCCATCACTGAAGCCATTTGTGCCTGGTTTCCTGCTGAATCATGAAAAGAGACTCAAGAGAAGAACAAAAGTATATAACTACATGCAAGTAAGTGAAAATACCTTGTGAATAAATTAAATTGATTTTTTAACACTAATTGAAGAATATCCTTTAGACTTGTATACTTCCTCTTCAGGTATTAGTAATATCTTATTCTTAGCATGTTGGACACTTTTGATACATTATTAATCTTTATTTCTCATGTCATTTGCTAAATAATCATTATTTTATGGAAACAGGGACTCATTGATGAACACAGGCACACTGTTGATCCAACTGAACCCAGAGACCTCATTGATTGTTGCATCATTGAGCAGCAGAAGTTGAGAAAAAGTGGAGAAGATGATTCTTACTTTGAAGGAAAGTGTCAGAAATCACTTATGACATCTTTGAATCATCTTTGGAAATCATGAAAAATATTGCCTGATTAAACCATATATAGATGATAAATTTGCATGGACTTTGGTTGACCTCTTCATGGCTGGTGCAGAAACCACAGCAACCACTCTTAGATGGACCATTTTGTACCTCATCTCATACCCAGAAGTCCAAGCAAAGCTTCATCAAGAAATTGACAAAGTAGTTGGCAAAGACAGACTGCCTTGTCAAGAAGATTGCAATAAGTAAGTCTAGTATTCAACAGCATGGCTCACTGTTTCTGAACAAATTTTTGCTGATAAATTTTTTCTTTCAAAACAGAATGCCTTATGCTGAAGCAGTTTTATGGGAGATTTGGAGACATGTTACAGTAGTTCCCACTGCACCTGGGAGACTTGCAAGCCAAGATATTCAACTTGGTGGCTATATTATTCCCAAGGTGGACTCAATATTTGCCTCCCAGAAATCATAGCTTGTAAAACTTTTGTCGCGAATATTTTAATGGGTATATTAAATTCAATACGCTAGCTTTGAGAGAACCCAAATTCCCTGACCAATTTAGTCTTTCATTTGTATCTGTGTGGGAATCTCAAAACACCTTGGTTCCCACAGATGGTCAGCAGCCTCCAAGGCTGTAATTTATTACAGATGTTTCTGCAGCCTTCAAGGCTGTATTTTGTTACCAATTTCTGTTTGCCATTTCTCGTCCGTGGAGGACAGTTTTCCTGTTTTCCAAGTTTGTATTATTTGACACAGTCCAAATCAAACACTCGAGTGTGAACGTTCTCCAAGATTTTGCGAGATTTTCTGTGTGTGAAGATATTATACCAACCTTGAAATAGGGTGTTTTGCACCCTGGTCGTAGCCAGACCAAATTCTTGTGTTTTATTTCGAATTATTCATTTTCAAACTCTAAATTTAAAACCTAACCTTTTCTTTGTCGGGATTTATTCCCAACAATTTTCAAAGCTGATAAATTTAAAATGCATGCCTGATTGTCTTCAATTCCAGGGAACAATTGTTGTCTCAGCACTGTATGCCATCCATCATGATCCAAAGAATTTCAAGAACCATGAAATCTTCAATCCGGAAAGGTTCTTGGGTGAAGCTGGAAATCTCATCAATAACTCTAAAATCGTGCCTTTTCAAACAGGTGTGTTTTACCATAGTCTCAGCTGAGAAGGAATAGCACATTTGTTCAATTGTTCATTTTTACTTAAACATTTTTTCAGGAAGGAGACAATGTTTGGGAGAAACTCTGGCTGAAATGAGTGCTTTCTTGGGATTGGTTTACTTGCTGCAAACATTCAATTTTGAGAAAGTCCCAGGATTTCACTACACCTTGGAACCAAAAGAAAGAGAAGAGGTGGTTCATATGCCTGAGCCATACAAAATTCTTGCCATTCCCCGGATTCATTTTTAAAGTGGTACAGTAGTTGAAATTTTCTGATACCTTTAACAATCCTGCATATTGTGCAAACAGCTAACGTACATTTTTCCAATGCATTTTCTTTTTTTGTTTTGGAGTTTGGGTAGCTTTCTTTATCTGCATTGTCTTCAAATCAGAAATCCATATTATAAGAAAAACCTGAATAACCATTTATGAGGGCATGGGAAAATAGTGAGCACCACTTGAAAAGGATTGCATTGACTCAGTTTTCCACATCAATAAGGAAGCCAAATTCTCTCTCTAAAAATGGAACTATTAGGGTAAATTCCCTCTTCTTTATTATAGTTATAATTTGTCATCAGTACTTTACTATGTTCCTTTTCACCTAGCAGATGACGCTCTGAGCAGTTGTGTTGCCTGCCTGTCTCACAACCTTGCTGCGTGACTGCTGTTGAGTCACGTGCCAAGGGTTATGCAACCCTCTCTTGAAATAAGGTCAGATCTGGGTCTGACCAAGATTGCCTAATCTGTGATGTCTGAATCTATAAAGTTGCCTGTTCTCTTTTACTTGCATGCTCATTGATATCTGGTCATTGTTTGGATACTGTTTGTTCTACTGTTGAATATGGAATAAAACTCACCTACTTTATATTTGAGGAATTATTGATTCACAAAAGCCCGGCAACAGGAAACAAGAAAATCTCCTCACCAAATAATTGCTGGATTAGTTATTGTAAACTTGGGACTGTAAGTTTTGACAATCAAAAATCTGGAGATGTCTGAATTGGATATTGTAAAACATCAAATAACTAAATTCTGACAACACCTTACTATACTAATCTTATTTATATAAAACGCTATGGACACTTATTCCACAACTTATCCAGGTCAACCAGCTCAGGATAAAAGGGGAAGAGCAGATTGCCAAAAGATTTCAGTTGCTGATCAAGAGTCTTTGACAAAATCTCAGCCATGTCCGCCTACACAAAAGTGATTCAATTCCATATTCTGTGACAAAATTCCACTCATTGTTGTCTTCCTTCTTCTGTGTATGTTGATATTTGCACAAAGATAAAAATGACTGCACTTTTGGGATCAAGAGTCCAGATGGATGACCATGCAACTGTGCCTTCCCTTCATTTTCTTATACCCCAGTTTAAAGGTGACATATACAGTCAACCCCCATCTAACCGACTTGATTCATGCAAGGGACGAGACTGTTAGACAAAAAGTCCTTTACACAAATTCAATTACATAAAACAATTTTCAACACTAATTTTGAACCAAAAGAAGTCTGTTTGGCGGATTTTGTCTGTTGGGCTGGAGGAAAAACTACTTGCAGATAAGCTGGTCTGTTCAGCAAAAATCCCTTACACGGGAGGTCTGTTAGGCAGGGGACCACTGTATATGCTTGATCCCTTGCTGAGTTCCTCTTTTTGAGCTCCTTGACTCAACAACTATCCATCAAAGAGAAAATTACTCCCACATCAGTAGCACAGCCAAGAAAGTTTGACTTGGTAGTTGTAAATTGTTATACAGTAATTGTATTTAAACAAAATCAAACTGTAGTGTCTTTTATAAATTGTGACACAACTTTATAAACTTTTATTGTGTGGCCATTGGAAGAAGAAAGGGTTTCATTATGAGGAAGACTGTGTGTTTGTATGGTGGGAAACTATTTTGTGCCTATCATCAAAAGAGAACACAAGAGCATACATTGTATCTCCATGCCAAGATAACATGTTCAATAACTCACATGTGAGGCTTTGAGTGAGTCTGTATCATTGCAGCCACGTTTGAACTGACTAACTGTAAGAGAGTGAGTAAAAATATACAAGCATCATGTGAGAGAATATTTGGAACCTCAGAGAACATGTGACTTCTTATATCTTTGACAAGTTGTCCCCCTTTAAATAACACCAGCAGCACACTTACAGGAAATTTGGAAGATTGTCAATACTTGTGCATCTCATGCCCTCTCTTCCAATTTCATAAGCGCAAGAATTTCAAAGAATGATTGTTTGTGGTTTTTATTTACATAGTACAGTTCACTGAAATTGTAGACTTGATCAAAAGTGACAATAAGGTCCTATGCATCAGGGAATGTGGTGTTACATTTTTTCTTACAAGTGGTAAAATAAAATCATTTTACAAATCCACACTGAGTGTATATTTCTTCGCAATATACACTGAAGTTGTATAGATAACAGATGTATTTGAGAAGGATTGCCAAATATTGCAAGACTTTGTAACAATGACTTGTGTTGGGCTTTTATTGGATCAATTTTCAAGCATATATAAAAAGAATAAGTTATGTATGTTTATAGACTTTGGGAAGTTGTCAGGGGAATCTGGGATTTTCTTGATGTGAATGTTTCATATTCATTGAAACATTTCATTGGAAACTATTATTTTCACAGAAGTAACTGAATACTTGAGTTTTGAATCATTGTCACTGTTGAGTGTTGACAGTGTAGGGAAACATACCACACACCAAAAAACAAGCACCACCTTAACAAATGGATTGATGAGAGAGAGAGAGAGAGAAAGAGAGAGAGAGATCAGAGAGAGAGGGAAAAAACAAGGAAAGGCTGCTTTAGAAAATCTTGCTCTTTTTCCTTGGAATAAAAAGGTACTTAAAAGCTGAAATAAAGACATATCAAGATTGTTTATATAGGATAGCAGATGGCAGTACATTGATAAGTATTTCATTCTTCAAACTAACTTTTAATATAAATTGGGTGAAAAGTTGCATCAACATTTTACTCAAAAGTGTGTGTCCTTCACTCCTTCCAATCTTGATTCAATTTATGATCAATGATTTCTCACCAGGAAATTGATAAATTTATTTATGGTCAGAGTTTAGTGTTTCTCTTCTTATGCAGAAGTGTGAAGATGGAACTTTTCACAGGACTCCTGGTGACTCTCTTTGTTTTGGTGATTTTAACTTACTGGGTGAAAAAGAAGCCATCCACGTATCCACCTGGTAAACTGAACTCAAGATCAATAAATAAATTATATATATATTTTTTACATGGTTTTCTGTTAAACTTCTATTAAGGACCCTTTAAATGGCCTTTGGTTGGGACACTTCCTGCTCAGCTTATGACAAGAACTTTTGGAACTGGTTACAAGAAATGGGGACTGATATATGGAAAAATTTTCAGGTTGGCTCATGGCATGAAAGTTCACTTGGGGGACATTCCAGTTTTGAAGAAATTATAACAAGGTTATTTTTTCCAGTGTACAAGTTGGACAACTGGATGCTGTAGTGCTGACTGACTTTGATTTGGCTAAAGAAGCCAATGCCAAAGAAGAGCTTGTTGACAGGCCACAGTATGACTTCTGGCACTTTTTTATGAAGTACAAAAATGCAGGTCAGTTTTTAAAAACTACTGTATATAGTGATATATTGACTCATACAGCATGAATTCATTATGCCTGGAAGTGGTGAGTGCAGCAGAATCTTGGTTTTTCTTTACTGGGATGTGATTTAAAAGCATAGATTCTAATGAAAGCTATTTTCCCAATGTATTTTGGAGCTTCTTTCTCTGGTGGTACAAAATAACTGAAGAAAAATTGCATCAAATTGTCTTTCCCAGGGAGTTAAGCAATTCCCCTGGTTGTTATTTCTTTATCATCAAGATATATTTCAGGTCTGTTATTTTCAAATGGCCAAGATTGGAAGACAAGAAGAAGATTCACACTCAAACATTTGAGGGACTTTGGGTTTGGAAAATCTTCCATGGAGCAACTGATTCTTGATGAGATGCGACGTCTGGCTGATTCAATCAATGTCCAGAAGGACCCAAAGGGATCAATTGTTGAGCTTGATGCTGCCTTGAATGCTGCTGTTGGGAATGTCATCTGGTGGATTGCAGCAAGTAATGCATTTGCTTATTCATATTCATCAAGAAATATCTCAGAGTATTTAAAATATGCACTATATTCATAGATATTGGAATTTAACTATAAAAATTGCTTTAAAGTGCCTCTTGTTTCATATGAAAACTTTACAATTTTTATGGTTATGATAAAAATCAAAGAGGAGCCTTGTCAATTGAAACAATGCAAGTTTTACAATCCCCCAGGCAGGAGAATGGATGGCAATGACACTGTGATGAAGAATGTTCTGGAAACAATCGACAGCCTCAGTCATTTTGACATGACAAACATAATTTCTGTCATCCCAGCACTGAAGCCATTTGTCCCTGGTTTCCTGCTGAATCATGAAAAGAGACTCAAGAGAAGAACAAGAGTGTATGAAAACATGCATGTAAGTGGACATTCAAGTGAGGTCAGGTGACATGACTTTCCAAAGACAGACACAAAACATGTCCTTTGTTGGGAATAAATCCCGACAAAGAAAAGGTTAGGTTTTAAATTTAGAATTTGAACTGAAGATTGGAAATAAAACACAAGAATTCGGTCAGGCTACAACCAGGGTGCAAAACACCCTATTTTAAGGTTGGTATAATATCATCACACAGAAAATCTTGCAAAATCTTGGAGAACGTTCACACTCGAGTGTTTGATTTGGACTGCATTGAATAAAACCAACTTGTAAAACAGGAAAACTGTCCTCCAAGGACAAGAAATGACAAACAGAAATTGGTAACAAAATACAGCCTTGAAGGCTGCAGAAAACATCTGTAATAAATTACAGCCTTGGAGGCTGCTGACCATCTGTGGGAACCAAGGTCTTCCAAGATTCCCACACAGATAGAAATGAAAGAATAAATTTGTCAGGGAATTTGGGTTCTCTCAAAGCTAGCGTATCAAATTTAATATACCCGTTAAAATATTTGGGACATCCTTGTCTGTTTGGTTTTCAAGCAGTTCCATGAATGACAACTTTGCATATTCAATTCAATGATTTATCAATGACTTTCTTGCTAGTTTTACATGTTTAATTATTTTTTGGAAAAAAGGAAGTGATTGCTGAACACAGGCGCACTCTTGATCCAACTGAACCCAGAGACCTCATTGACTGCTACATTATTGAGCAGCAGAGGTTGAGAAAAAGTGGAGAGGATGATTCTTACTTTGAAGGCAAGTGTCAGAAATCACACATGACATTATTGGATCATCTTTAGTACTTTGGAAAAACCCTAACACATTTTGACTGATGAAACCATAGATGATAAGGTGGCATGGACTTTTGCTGACCTTATCATAGCTGGTGCAGAAACTACAGCAACCACTCTTAGGTGGACCATTTTGTACCTCATCACTTACCCTGAAGTCCAAGCAAAGCTTCATCAAGAAATTGACAAAGTAGTTGGCAAAGACAGACTGCCCTGTCAAGAAGATCGCACCAAGTGAGCCAAGGCTTCAATAACAGATGCCTCAAAATGTGACAAAAAATTTATGTGATGATATGTTTTCTGTTGAAACAGAATGCCTTATGCTGAAGCAGTTTTATGGGAGATTTGGAGACATGTTACAATAGTCCCCACTGGAGGTGACAGACTTGCCAGTCAAGATTTTCAGCTTGGTGGTTATATTATTCCTAAGGTGAGAAACTCATGAAGAATTCCACTCAATAATGCATACATTGAGAGGCAAAAAAGTGTCACTTAAAGGTTTTGCACTGTAAGAGGTTCCCTTTCAGTCCCAAACCTTTAAGAATACTGAATAAGGTTTACTATTCTTGCTTACCCCATTAAGAACCTGAAAGGGAAAAGATAGGTTTTTCCATAACTGAGAAATGCACCCATTTAATATTTTCTGGTGAATCAACAGCATTTGAATGACAAATTTGGTGAACTTGTGAAATAAATTTTTATTGCGTGTTCTTACAGTCATTTAAAAGTTGGTGTCATAAATCTATTACAAACTTAGCAAAAAAGTATGAATTTATAATATATTCTGGATTCAGTACAAGTATTCTTGTACTGAATTACTTTCACAGTATTATTTTCAGGACAACATGTATATTTTTAAAATTATTTTCACAGTTACAGCATTAACTTTTTTGAACTTTGAACCGAATTCTTCTAGGAACAAATGTTAGTTGAGAGAATGTCTTGAAAATTTAATTTGAATATCCTTGTTAAATTTAAAGAGAAAAAATGTATGAATGAAACTCACACTGCTTCTTCAATTCCCTGGAGGAGCTTGATTTTGAAATCATTTTTATCACTTTTATTCTGTTAAAACTCGATTATCTAACAATGTTGTGACCTTCCCAATGAAAATTGTGTTTCCTGGAATGACAATCAAATTTTTGAAAAAAAATTCATATTTTCTATGAATCTAACATATGCTATACCTTTGTTATCCGTATTTTTATTTTTTTTTCTGGGTAACAGAACAAAGGGCTCTGATAAAATTTAATCTGTTTTGCAATCTTAAATTTCAGGGAACTATTGTCACCTCAGCACTGTATGCAATTCACCATGATCCAAAGAATTTCAAGGATCCAGAAATCTTCAACCCAGATAGGTTCTTGGATGAAGATGGAAATCTCATCAAAAACCCAAAAATAATGCCTTTTCAAGCAGGTACTGAGTACAATCAATTTTCACATTAAAAATTGCTGCACTTTGACAATGCTTTTTGCAATGAAAACATTTCAGGAAAACGACAATGTTTGGGAGAAACTCTGGCAAGGATGAACTCTTTCCTGGGTCTGGTTTACTTGCTGCAAACATTCAAATTTGAAAAGGTTCCTGGGTTTCAATACACCTTGAAACCTAAAAGAAGAGAGGAGGTTGTCCACATGTCTGAGGCATACAAAGTTCTTGCCATCCCCAGAGTTTTGAATTGATGAAATGCAATGGGCTATGAAAAACGCAGAAATGGGAAATTTATGAACTTCATATGTTCCTGTGCTGGTAGAAAAATCATTTTAAAAATTGCATTGTTGAGTGTGTGAAGTTATTTTACTGACTCATTTTCCAAAGTATGTTATTCAGTTGTCATTGTTTGAACATGCTTCCACGGGGTTATTTTTGAAATCATTTCCAGACATTATTTTGTGATCCAACCTGTAAAAAATGCCCACAGGTTTTCTTTTTTTTAGGATTTGTAGTCACTTTATTTTCAATAAGGTCAGCTGCACATCAACATGAGCATCAGAGAAATAGATTTCATGCAGTAAATTGGATCTAGAAACAGCTTATTGGAGTGACATCTATCTAGCCTTTTTGCCAATGCTCTGATCCAAAGCACAAATACAATTCAATCAAGGTGTTTCATGATTGATTTTGTTCTTGCTTTATTTGAAATAAAATTTGTGCAACTATAAACATCCTCAGATGGCAGTGACATCTGAACTCCATCCCCAAAACCATTACTACAGAAGACCAGATGGGTATGTGACCAATACATTCAACAGTTGAATACATTCTATAAATAAATATATTTTTCATTCTTGGTTGGATTTTACATTGAATGAATAGGAGATATGTGGAATTAAAGCCAAACAAAAATTTGAAAACAAATAAGCAACAGAAGTGACATCTAGTCTTCCTTGCAAAGACACTGGAAACCTAAATCCCAAGGATTGGAGCAGTGTAGCAAGAAAATTATATAACACAGAATACATGAGCATGTGTAGTGTGTGTGTGTGCTTTTGGATACTGCACAAACAAGATGAGAACCCCGCCCAAAACAAACACCAAGAAAAGAGACCCATGATAATTCGTCCCCCTCAAAGTATAAGAGTGCGGGTCTTTTTTCAAGGAATAGTCGGACGAACATAGAGCACTAACGACGACGACAACCGTGAACTGAAGTCAGTTGGACTCACGACTTACACAAAACTTCAAAAAACAAATTTACGGTCACGAAATCTAAAGAACGTTCATAAAATCTGTGTGTTGATGTCAGTGAAATCCTGTGCAAAAAAAAATAAGAAAAAAATTTCAGAGTATATTCTCATAATTGTCAGTGTCTTGAAATGGATTGAATAGTTATTGACTCAGATTCATTTCCAGCAGTTGGTATCCCAACATAATCCTTCATTTTTATATTCTTAATTCATTTTTCAAGCATTTTTTTCAAAGGTATAAGTGGAGATTATTTTTTAATTTCAAAAAATCTCTGCTTTTTTGTATCTGATTTGATATTATTGTATTAGCTCAATAAGGAAACACTTGGTTCATTTCATGAAGAGTTGCCTAATCATGAGGATGATGATGGGTTGCACAGTCACTTGTGTTTATAAACAAAACCCAAGTCATCAGTTCCTCATGTGTAATAGACCGTAAAAGTAAACTTTTTCGTACGAAAAGATAGAAGGTTATTATTGTATTTAGGTTTTTTTTTAATGTCATTTAGACGACGGTTACTTTTTCAAGTTAAGGAGTTTTATACAGTACTCAACAAAAACCAGCATCATTTAATAATCTCACTATTGGTGTCTATGCCAAATCTGACCTGGAAAAGTCAATATTTCCTCCATATTTCCAGTTTAAAAGTCAACCAAGATAACATGACAATTCAATGAAGCTTTTCAACTATTGAGTACTGTTATCTTACTACCTACTTTTCAAGAGAGGGATATGAGAAACTACTTTATCAGCAGTTTGACCTGATTTTCCAGGGTGTTAGAAAGTAAGTTAACCCACATTCTCACTTTCCATAGAGTTGGTTACTCGGTGGTCTTCTTATGGTCTATGTTGGAACCTTTGACACTTAAAAGTCCATTCGTAATACACCACACTCTCTATAAAAACAATGCCTGTGATAAATAAGGTGGGAGTTTGATTTTTTCAACTCAATTTAAATATGATAAATTCATCTTTTATAATTGAAATAAAACAAAATGCAATTTAATTTTTCATTATCAGGTTAGATTTTGAAGCACCAAGACTTAATGTGCATGATTGCACTTTAAAAAGCAGAGGTACTTTTCAAGATGATCATGGTATAGATGGTATTTGAGCTTCTTATTAATTCCAGGTGCCAACAGATGGAGCAACCAGCAGAGCAAAAATCTTTCATTGGTGAAAAGTCAGTCAAAAGGTCAGGGAGTTGGAGGAAGGTTGTGGTACCATCCCCATTGACACCACCTGAGGTGCTTGAGCTCACTGATAGTGAGGACACACAATGTGGTCTCCCAGGATGCCACCCAACATGTCTGACACCATGTGCCTCAGTTGCTGGATACATGACCATTTATGCCTGCATTGCCATTATTCAAGGGGCATTCTTCACATACTTCATAGCAGTCATATCTTCTATTGAGAAAAGGTTTGGCATCAGAAGTAGAACCACAGGTGAGAGATTATGGAAAATAAAAATTAAACTTTTTGAAAATGAAATTTCATCTTTTATTTGGGTTCCATTTTGGCAGGCTTTGTGATGTCAGGCAATGAGGTCAGTCAAATCATGTTCTCCATTGTGCTCAATTATTATGGGGGCAAAGGACACAGGCCAAGATGGCTGGCAGGTGGAATGCTGAGTGTGGTGGTGTGTTGTTTGATCCTTGCTGCACCAAATTTCCTGCTTGGTGCTGGAGAACTTTATGACCCAGAGTCACCAAAGGCACCTCAGCTCCTTCACAATAGTGGTGTTACTGACTTTGAGTCAAACACCACTTCCCAGAGCCCACTAGCTGCTTCTCTTGGTGAGATTCACTTACTCAGGAAATTTTTTGTTGTAAGCTTGTGCAAAATATGGGGAGATGTCTTTCATCAATGTAGGGGAACACATATGGGAAAGGGAGTCATAGGGGGGGGGGTTTAACAAGTGAGGGAAACAAAAACAAGGGAACACTGCTCTGAAACCCCTGCTTTTTTCCTTGAAAGGAGAGATGATTGAAAGCTGAGGAAAACTCAAAGGGAATTGAGAATGTTTCTAGGATAAAAAAAACTCTTGAACACATGGAAAAGCTTATAAAACTGTAAATGCAGTGTCCAATTTAAATAAGGAATCAAAGATCCATAATGTTCATATTGAAACATAGTAATGTTGGATATTTTGAGGCAATATACACACTGCTGCTGGAAAGCAGAGTCAAATAATATATATAGTGAATCTTTTCAGAAAAATTAAGTCATGGGTTTTTAAATTGTGGTTTATTTCTTGACTATTTAAATCTTTGCTTGAAGGCACCATGGAAAAGACTGTGTGCAGAGTGAAACCACCTCATCAAAGATTCCAGGATGAAAACTCAACACTAACCAGGACCACTGAAGTAGCAGAATGTGAGGAAGACTCTGATGCCAAAGCAGGCATGGGTTTACTATTTGCTGCCCACTTCATCAGTGGCCTGGGAATTTGCATTTTCTATCCCCTGAGTTGGTCTTACTATGATGACAGTGTGAAGCCAAGCAGAGCTCCTATTTTCCATGGTAAACAATTTTTTTGTGAAAGTCAGCTCTGTATATGTACATGAGTTTCTGATATGTTTAAAGGAATTTCCTCTGCAATAAGAGTAACAGGGCCATTTGTGGGCTTTGTGCTGGCTTATGCATGTCTGCAAATTTATGTGGTGCCTGGAAAGGAGACTGGACTGAGTCCATATGACCCACGTTGGTTGGGGGCCTGGTGGCTGGGATTTGTCATCATTGCAGGCTTCCTGGCCATCTTTGCATTCTTCATGGCCCTTTTCCCAAAAAGAATCCCCAACAAGTACAGTAATCAACAGGAGGTCAAAAGGAGGCAAGAGAAGAGGTCAAAGCCTCAGGACTCTGTCACAGAAGGGTTCAGAGGTGAAACCCAGCATGCAGTCAAATCATTATTTTTATGTTTTTTCTTAATAAGGATAATATTTTTTCTGTTTATTTATCAGATATTCCAAATGTGCTGAAGCGCCTAATGACAAATAAAATTTTCATGGGTCACCTGATAGCAGTTTGCCTGCATGTGTTTGCATACATTGGGTTCTTCTCATTCAGTCCAAAGTACCTTGAGGCTCAGTTCAGGGAAACTGCTGCCAGATCTTCCATTGGTGCTGGTGAGTTATTCTGATTATAATTAAAGTTCCAATAACTAATTTTGGAAGTATTTATTTGCATATTAAATATTTTATTTAGGAATTTCTGGGGTTCTGGTGCAAGTTTTTGGACTCCTGGGATCTGGTTATGTGATCAGGAGGTTCAAGCCAAGGCCTGAAATAGCCACAGGCTATGGTGCATTTGTGTCTGCATTTTCTGCAGCAGGGATCCTGTCAGCCATGTTCATTGGATGTTCAAATGTGGACATTCAGGGGACTATGAAAAATAACATGTGAGTCACATAATTCCCCTATTTTAAATTTAAATGCCTTTTCTGTTATTTCCAGTTTTCAATACTGCTGTGGCAACCTATAAATACCAAAATAAATGGTTTTTTGTAAGGCATGCATATCTGAACACATTCCTTGATTCCTGAATTAGAGTTTGGATCACTTCCAATATTTTCCTCAAGAAAATTCATAAATACCACTTCCATTAATGGCCACTGGTATTTCTTTTGTTTTTGGTTAGGGACAATTATGGTAAATGTGTCTTCAATTGCATTTCCTGACAGGTTGGACTTGGTGTCAGAGTGCAATTCAGACTGCTCATGCTCCACCTCATTTTACACCCCAGTTTGCTCATCAGATGGCGCTGTCAACTTCTTCTCTCCTTGTCATGCTGGTTGTGAGACAATTCTGTCAACTGGAAACCCTGGTGATGACAGAAACAAAACGGTGAATTGATTTTGAATTTTTTTTACCAGCACAGGTTTTTTTATCACTCCAAAGAAATTATTGTATGGTTGGGAAGAGGTTTCAGCCTACAATTATTGTACAGTATTAAGAAATGTTCTTTCTCCTAATCACATGATTTCTGGTTTCTCCCAACACAAAGTGCTACATGAGAGAACCTTTCAGGAGCTTGAAATAATCTGGACAATGAGATTGTTGACTCTTTGTTACAGATTTATGGAAATTGCAAATGCATTGTGGAAGAGATTGCAATCAGCACAGTTTCTGAGACTGATGAAAAACAGTACAAATTTGGCTCAGCATACCAAGGCTTTTGCCAGGCAGATTCCCTTGCTTGCAATTCATTTGTGATATACCTTGTAGTTCTTGGTCTGGTGAAACTGGTGTCTTCCACTGGGAGAGTCATTGGATTAATGGTTACTATGAGGTTAGTCAAGCCTAATAATACATACCCAGTGTGTGATTTTGAGGAATTTTAATTGTTTTTCTTATATGTGATCATTCCTTTCATACAGGTGTGTTGACAAGAAAGACAAGTCTGTTGCCTTGGCTTGCATAGTGACAGCAATATCCCTGTTTGCCTCCATTCCTTCACCCATAGTTTTTGGGGCAATAATTGGTGAGTATGAAAGTGCAAAAAAAACACACCAATATAAAGTCAAATAATGCAATTATTCAAGAAAATTCAGGTATTAATCCTTCTTGATAATTATGTATTTTAGTTGTTTTACCCAAAAGTATGATGTTCTTGACTTATCACAATAACAGATGACACCTGTTTGGTGTGGAAAACCTCCAAGTGTGGATCAAAGGCCAACTGCGCCCTCTATGACAGCAATGCCTTCAGATGGAAGTTACATTGCTTCACTGCATTCTTCATTGTATGTGCCACAGTATGTGAATTTTATGTGGTGTCCAAATCTAAGAACCTACTAAACATACCCCTACTACTACTTTTTCTACGACTGTTTCTCGCCGTTTACCTTCGGTAACTCCTTCTTCGGCGACCAAATACTCACCACCTAACTTTATATTTAAACAAATGACCGTAAACGAAACAAGAACAAAATGGTGATGTTAATACATAACACAAAAATGCATTTTTTTTACGTGTCGGCTATTCTTTCTGTCAGATTTTCTATGCAAAATTATGATATAAATATACTTCTGGTCAAGCTGAGCTGCAAATTGTATAAAAAAAGAGCAATCAAAACTTCAGGCGCTGGAGAAATTCTAACCTTCATTCTTAAATCAACTGTGCCAAAGCAGTGACAAACTGCCATGAGATGGAAAATACTTCTCATCATGTGTATGCTTCAACATTACATCCATTAATTTGTATGAGCAAGCTGGATTTGTGTACTGATATACTGCTTTACAATGGAGTTCACCTGATGTGTGGTTGATTTGCTATAGACTATTATACATCTTCATGAAGACATTGTTGTACATTACTGTTCAGTCCTTATATTTCAGATGAAAATAATGTCAAGTGCAACAAATTTGATAGTTGTGCAGTATTAAGCATGAGATAAAAATTATACAATTATTGTACCAAATTTTTATATGGTAAATTAAAATGTGCATCAGCCAAATAACTATTCCTGGACATCACATCTGTATAGCTGCAATATGATGAACATACCTTCTTCATACACTTCATGAGCAATTTGCAGGAGAATGATTCATATTTAGAAAACCTAATTCCAATCATGAATAATATCATTCATGAGGCAAAAACTGTATAACTTCAGTCAGAAATCAAATTGTAGGTCCTTTTATTGGTTTTCTATGTAAAGTGATTATTATGTGTGATACTCTTTCCAAAAATGGTTCATATGCAGCATAAACATACATAATAATTTTTAAAACATTGTCCACCCTCTCAATTTGGGAAGGTCTGTACTATATATACAGTATACAGCAGGTGGTATACCTAGCAATTTGACCCTAATATGTTGCCAAACTAGGGTTGAATTGCAAATTGGTCAAATTGCAAAACATTCCGTGAAATTTTAAAACACGAGTACAAAAGTGCAAAAGTAATGGGAAAAGGGGGTTCAAGTGTGGGGCTACGGTCAAATTGCAAGTCAACCTCATCTTGGAAAATTTGACCATCAAATTGCAGGATGGTCAAATTAAGAAAGCCCAGCAAATAATTTGTTACGAATATTGCTGCGCATAACAGTTATGCATTCAAAACGCGTCTGTTATGCATAACTGTTATGCTCAGCTTCTTCTGAAGCACCTTTCTTTTTTTTGTGTTGATGTTTTGAAACATTTTCATACTATGCATTCAGAATGCATTTTTTACGCATTCTATTGTTACCCTTATACTTGAAACATTTTGGAAGTACTTTTCTTGATTGTAACATGCATGCATTTTGAAATGCCTGCCTGCTACAATCAATAAAAATCAATAAGAGACAGTTTTTGTCATTGTAACATGCAGGCGTTTTGAAACGCCTGCATGTTACAATGACAAAANCCCATAGTTTTTGGGGCAATAATTGGTGAGTATGAAAGTGCAAAAAAAACACACCAATATGAAATCAAATAATGCAATTATTCAAGAAAATTCAGGCATTAATCCTTCTTGATAATAATGTATTTTAGTAGTTTTACACAAAAGTATGATGTTCTTGACTTATCACAATAACAGATGACACCTGTTTGGTGTGGAAAACCTCCAAGTGTGGATCAAAGGCCAACTGCGCCCTCTATGACAGCAATGCCTTCAGATGGAAGTTACATTGCTTCACTGCATTCTTCATTGTATGTGCCACAGTATGTGAATTTTATGTGGTGTCCAAATCTAAGAACCTAGATTTGTATGGGGATGATGATGAAAAAGATGCTGACAAAGAGCGGCAAATGGAAGCCATTGAGGAAGAAGCCGCTGGTTTATGAGTGGTGGATTGAAATATAAATTTGTTTACTGGCATTTGCTTTGGAGAAAAAAATGGTGATGTTAATACATAATACAAAAAATGCATTTTTTCATGTGTCGACTAGTTTTTCTTTCACATTTTTTATGCAAAATTATGATATGAATATACTTCTGGTCAAGCTGAGCTGCAAATTGTAAAAAAAAAGAGCAATCAAAACTTCAGGGGCTGGAGAAATTATAACCTTCATTCTTAAATCAACTATGCCAAAGCAGTGACAAACTGCCATGAGATGGAAGATACTTCTCATCATGTGTATGCTTCAACATTAAATCCATTAATATTAGCAAGCTAAATTTTTGTACTGATATACTGCTTTACAATGAAGTTCACCTGATGTGTGGTTGATTTGCTAGACTATTAAATACCTTCATGAGGACATTGTTGTACAGTAGTTCTTATATTTCAGATGAAAATAATGTCAAGTACAACAACTTTTATATTTGTGTGGTATTTAGCATGAAATAAAAATTATACAATATTCAATATTGTACCAATTTTTGTATATGGTAAATTAAAATGTGCATCAGCCAAACTTGAACATTATTCCTGGACATCACATTTGTATAGCTGCAATATGATGAACATACCTTCTTCATATACTTAATGAACAATTTGCAGGAGAAAGATTCATTTTTAGAAAACCTTATTCCAATCATGTATAATATATCATTCATGATGCAAAAACTTTATAATTTCAGTCAAAAATCAAATTGTAGGCCCTTTTATTGGTTTTCTATGTGAAGTGATTATTATATGTGAAACTCTTTCCAAAAATGGTTCATATGCAGCATAAACATACATAATAATTTTTAAAACATTGTCCATTCTCTCAATTTGGGCAGGTCTGTCCTATATACAGTACTGTATACAGGTGGTACCTAGCAATTTGACCCTAATATGTTGCCAAACTAGGGTTGAATTGCTAATTGGTCAAATTGCAAAACATTCTGTGAAATTTTAAAACTTGAGTACAAAATTGCAAAAATAATAGGAAAAGGGGGTTCAAGTATGGGGCTAAGGTCAAATTGCAAGTCAACCTCTTGGCAAATTTGACCATCAAATTGCAGGATGGTCAAATTAAGAAAGCCCAGCAAATAATTTGTAACGAGTATTGCTGCGTGTAACAGTTACGCATTCAAAACGCGTCTGTTATGCATGACTGTTACGCCCAGCTTCATCTGAAGCGCCTTTCTTTTTTTTGTGTTGATGTTCTGGAAAATTTTTATACTACGCATTCAGAATGCATTTTTTACGCATTCTATTGTTACCCTTATACTTGAAACATTTTGGAAGTACTTTTCTTGATTGTAACATGCATGCATTTTGAAATGCCTGCCTGCTACAATCAATAAAAATCAATAAGAGACAGTTTTTGTCATTGTAACATGCAGGCGTTTTGAAACGCCTGCATGTTACAATGACAAAAACTGTCTCATTGATTTTTTGACAAAGTATTGCAACACAGTAATAAAACATTTGTCTTATTAGCTTGTTGCATTTGTTTGTTGCTTTTGTTCTAATGCAAAAAGCAGTCAAATTGCAAGGTACCACCTATATACATGGGCAAAAAATTTTTCATTTCATACACAGTACATGGAACAAATATGTACACAGTAATACAGTATATTATATGCAGTACAGTACAACTATTCGCATATTGAAATATATCCCTCAAAAACATCATGTATGCATGAATATATGCTCCATTGATGGGGAAATCAGCTCCAGCAGAACAATTCACATTTTCAAAAACAAATTCAGAGTGTATTTCTTCAACCAACACTGGAGAGAAGATATAGTCTTGAGAAACCCAAAACTTTTTCCTTGATGTTGGTGCAGACTATTTCCCTTCATCGCAGTTTTTAATGCTGAACCAAAAAAGTGGATGAGGAAAATCAAGAATCTCTTGGTGTGATCAGCATTTTGAACCTTTCAGGGATGTGCAAACCCTCCACTGGCTCTTTCCTGTGAATACCACCTGCCTGTGGTAACAATGAATACTTTTCTCCAGGAACTTTGGAAAAAGTATGATTCTGCAGAAGCTGAATGGCTGCCAAGAAAGTTGTTATCCTTGCAAGGATTTCTCCAGGACACTTCCTTTTTCCTATAGCAACAATGAATTGTGCCACATTATAGTCCTAAATTATCTTGATTCATGATTGGTGGAATATAAATACTAAAGCAGGGATAGGCAAGGAAAACATCACAGAATGCAACCAACATAAACCCTATTCAGTTACCACAAAGAATTCATTTAAATGGATAAAGACTATATTAAAACGCTTAATTTTTTCAATAGTTTCAAATACTTTTGTCAAGTTTGTTTTGCCTCAAAAAGGATGCAATATTTTTTGGCAGCAGCTTATTTGATTATTGCTTGCCAAATGCATCAGTGTATGTAACATTCTTTTAATAGAAAAGACTTACCAGCTTGGAAAGGGAGGAAACCTGGCTTTTTGTAGTTGACAACCCCATCCTCTATGAATCTATCAGGACAGAACTCATCTGGATTTTCAAAGTATTCTGGATCATGATGTATGGCATGAATCAAAGTCATCACTATGGTTCCCTGTGAGTATCAATCAAGTATTTGAACATGTTCAATTCAAGTTATGAATACTACTGTTCTTCAAAAGAGGTGATCATACCTTTGGAATTTTGTAGCCACCAATGACCACATCCTCTTCTGCTCTCCTGTCAACCCCAAAGGGCACCACAGACACCTTCCTCAAAATTTCTAAAACACATGCTTCAGTGAAAGGCATCCTTCAAAATTAGCACAATGATATTGAATTTCATTCCATGTGTGTTTCATATTGATGAGGACTCACTGCAAATGATCATCCCAAGTTGGTTTTCTTTCTCTACCAAGTACAGTGTCAATTTCTTGTTGAATCCTTGCTTGATACTGTGGGTGATGAATAATGTACAGGAAGAACCACCTAAGGGTGTTGGAAGTTGTATCTGACCCAGCCAGGAACAGATCAGCCAAAGTCCAAGCAATGTTGTCATCTTCAAGACATATATGCAGCAAAGGCATCATGAACTTCTGGTACAATTTACATTTTAGGATTTTTGAGGAGCATGCATATCATAATTTTTAATACTGTATCAATCTTCATCAGAAAAAAATGATTGTGGATTGTCTTACTTATCCATTAAGCAATCAAAGAATGAGATTTTGAATTGTTTTTGTTCAATGATGAATTTGATTATTTATAACTTTTACTATTTTACCTGTGAAAACTTGTTCTTTGGAGTCATTGCTGTTCAAGAGTCTGTCTTGTTCAATCAAAGAGCAGTCAATGAAGTCCCTGGGCTCTGCTGGATCCAAGGTTTTCCTATGTTCCTGAATGACTTTCTGAAGCCCAAAAGGAAATAATCAAGTTATGTTTTAAAATCAGGGGTTAAATTGTGTCACCTTCATTTGGCTGTAAAAGTAATCCCTCTCATTGTACCGCTCTTTCAGCCAAAAATCAGGAATTCTGTGATAGATTGTTGGGAAGATGGACATGAGCTTGATGAATGAAAGATCAACAATCCTGGTCTTGAGGATGTTTGTCAATTTGTGAAACTCTTCATCATCTTTTTCATAACGCTTTCCTGTGAAACAAGTATCAATCAGAATGCTGAAATTAAATTTTAATTCTGTTGTTCATGATTTTTGTATAATTGATCATACAGGATACTGAGGGATTCTGTGGTTATGAGGTGAAAATTGTACAAGGATGATGATGCTCACCAGTGGTGAATGAGTTCATGATATTTTCTGTGGCAAGTGTCATTGCATCTTTGAATTCAACTACTTTTCCATCACCCATGGGTATTCCTTCTTTGAATATGTCCTCCAGTAATATGTTGAATTCCTCATAAATAGTTCCTTCCATTTTCTTCTTGCCAAAACCATAGTCTCGCAAAGTCTTCAGTGTAAACCTCCTGTTTTGCTTCCAAAGTTCGCCATTGGAAAAGATTATTCCTGAAAATTGATTTTATTTTTTACCAATGGACTTATGATTTGATAGGCATTGTAACCTTACCCAAGTTCTGATACTTCATAAAGAAGTGGTAAAACAAATACTGAGGTCTGCTGGTCAGTGTCTCCCAGGTGTTGATGTCCTTTGCTATTTTGTAGTCACACACAATGACAACATCATACTGACCAAATTTGAAACTGAAAAGCAATGAAACTTTATTCATAGACTTGCTAACATTGCATCAGTGGTGTATTTGTCAATAACTTACCTGAAAACCTTGCCATACTTTTTAGCCCAATAACAGTAGCATTCAGTGAAGTTTCTGCAGAATGCCTGGGAGACAATGTTGCCCAAAAGAGGCCACTGTGCTGGTCCTATGGAATTCCACAAGTATTTGCAATTCAGTTGTTACAGTTACATATGCAAGAACTCTTTTTTTTCAAGATTTATGCTCACCAGGTGGGTATCCTTCAGGCCTCTTCATTTTGACATAGAAATACAACCCTGTCAGAGCCAGAAGCACAGTGTACAGAAGAAGGGTGACCACAAACATGGCTGCAGAAACAGACACCTTTTTGCAACTATGGAAGTGTCTAGGTTCAAAAGCAGTCAGTGCACTGTTCCAAGCCCTCCTGTGCTAGAATAAAAAGTGGCAAGGGTATAAACTTTTTTTTTGGAAAAGTTCCTTTTTCCCCAGCATGGTCACAACAGCTCCCTTTTTTGTCTGGTCATGCTTTTTTTGTCAGTGCCATGGTTTTGCTGGGTAAGATCACGTCTATAGGTGATTGGGGATTTTTCTATCCCCAAAGTTTTTCCTGCATTCTTTTTTGGGAATTCCAATGACATTTTTGTTTTCAAAAAGTCAGGGCTGTAGTTTAAGGAAGTTCAAGATTTCATCATGTGAACGTCTTTTGTATATTACGTATAAGACTGCCTCTATGCTCATATTGAACTTGCATTCGAAAAAGTGAAACCAGATCTTTCCTCATGCTGTTTTTATTCAAATCTTTTCAAAAGATATTTTTTCGTCATCTGAAATCATGATTATAGCTACGCTATTAAAATGTTTCTAATTGGCAGATTGACAATCAATTGTACATGATTCGAGCTGCGTAAGAAGCATAGAAATTATTTCTTTTTTGAGATTATGCGATTCTATAACGATGCTCAGCAGAGATTTAAATAAAATTGAGAGGGAATCAAAAATTTAATTTCATCTCTTTGCAACACAGCCTCCGTGGCCTAATGGATAAGGCATCGGTCTCCTAAACCGGGGATTGTGGGTTCGAATCCCACCGGAGGTACTCTTTTATGCTGCATTATTTCTCATAATGCAGGTTTATTTTTTGAGCGGCTCAATAATTTTTAGCTAGAAAATTTGATTTTATATTTTATGATGAGAAATATAAACAACCGGTGCTGTATTATATGCATATATACAGGAATATCCGATATCGATATCATCACAGTCCGCCTGCTGTATTTGTTACAAAACTTCCGTGGATATATATGCAATATACATGAGTAACAAACTGACAATGCAACTGACATGACAATACCTGTATACTGAATTACTGTATATTGAGTAAGCATCCTCGAAATTTTGCATTTACGCCGCCTGATGGCGCATCTATAAACTAGAAAATAATGGACCAGCAGCAGGAGAATGAATCATGGCATTCTCATGAGGTGAAAATTGAACAAGGATGATGATGCTCACCAGTGGTGAATGAGTTCATGATATTTTCAGTGGCAAGTGTCATTGCATCTTTGAATTCAACTAGATTTCCTTTACCCATGGGTATTCCTTGTTTGAAAATGTCCTCCAGTGATATGTTGAATTCCTCATAAATAGTTCCTTCCATTTTCTTCTTGCCAAAACCATAGTATCAATAAGACACAGAATTCATACTCTACATTTCTAATCAAAGCAGGAAGAGAATTATTTTTATATTGTTTTATAGGAGGTTTTTTCAAGTTGAAGACATTTTTAAAGTTTTATACATGTTTTATTATGCAGCATTGGTATATATATATGATGGTAGGCTGTACTGTATATTTTTTTATTACCTATTTATAGCCATGTTTTATGCAGCATAATTGGTATATATATACCAATGCTGCATACATATATTGTATTGGTACAGTACAGTATAAATAAAATCAATATACAGTATAAATAAATATATATATATATATATATATATACAGTATACAGTATTTACTTGAGTACCACGCGCACCTTTTTTCTAAAAATTTAGGCAGAAAAATAGGGTGCGCATGGTATACTTATTGGGGATAAATTTTAGAGAGAATTTCCCAAAACCAGCGCCCCTTACATCCAAGTAAAAAACTTTAAGAGGAAAAGTGTGGCACCAAGTCTCTTCCTGCATGGGGAATAATTGCTCAATTTGTTTCATCCCTTGGAGATGCAACAGGAAGTGGAGAAAAGGGGTAATATTCATATAATTGAGGAAGCTATCCTATATTGCAAATGCATTTCAACTGCTTCTGTAGATGGAAAAAGACAGAAAGACAAAATATTGACGAGGAATAATGAATTTAAAAATTAAAACTTTTCACATTTCAACTTGATTTAACTTTTTTTTCCAGCAACAACCAAAAACTGGAGTGCGTGTCTTATACTTAAGGGATAGGATTTTGAACTAATTTCTGGTGGAAAAATTAGGGTGTGCGCCCTACTCCATGCATGGCGCGATACTGGAGTAAATACGGTATACCAATTTATAATGGTCGTATCAAACTTTTAAAAGTATATATATTTAAAATATCAAAACCTGTATTATTTACTGATTTTTTTCTCACGCCAGTTGTGTAAGTCTGAAATTTAATTTTCCATGCAGTGAAACAGCATTTAGTTCTTGTATTAAAGAAATTCTTTGTCTGCCAACGGAAGGTCCCATGGTGTAATGGTTAGCACTCTGGACTTTGAATCCAGCGATCCGAGTTCAAATCTCGGTGGGACCTCATTTTTTTCTCCGTCACGGATGTCCTGATGTCTTCCGGTGTGCTACTCGCTCAATGTTCTCTATGCCCCTAATGTGAAATATCGTTATAAATAGGGGTATTTCAATAAAGTACAAAATCTTTAACTTTCCTCAGCATAAGATTCACAATAAGTTTCTGCTGTTCAAAATGTTTTGATCAGCGCACTTCGAAGTAAATCGAATGATGGGCATTCTACTTTTTAGAAACGGACTTGATAGGATCTGGTTATGAGGATACATGAAGATCCGCTTTCCTCTGTCTTATTCTGGCTTGATTTGTTAAAATACTATACCGTAATCAAATGTTTTAAAGTTACCTATATACACACGTAATTTGAGGGATCATATTAATCCATTCAGATTTTCATTGAACAGTATGAAGACAATAATCACCAGGAAGGAGAGAAATTTTTCTTGTTTCGATAATATGTTAAGTAGACGCGTATTACAGCACTGTACGTCAATAATTACTCTTCTACTGTACATAAAAGCAAAAGTCATGAATAAGAGTACTAGACAGTATGGTACTGTATTCCGAACGTTCAAAAAACCCACCCTCGGTACGCCACCCGGCTTCAAACGTTTTCCGTGCCGGTTATGAGGGAAGGAGTGGAGACGGGGAAACCTTGACGCTGACCAGAATTTCTGGATTTTGCGTCAAAAATCTTGTTTTCTAGTCATTAGTAAGTGGGAAAGTGTGTAATTACGTTTTGGTGGCATTCATTATACTGTGTTTGTGCGCTCGACTCCGTGAAGTGCTGACCTGTGAAGCATATCTGTTCCCAATGAGGACGCGGTGGAGTTGTTCTCGTTGAAAACTTGCACGTTTCCTTTCCTATAGACGTGATGATAGTATTAATTTTCTCATGAATCCGGACGCGAAGAAAATGAATCCTGTCGCCTTTGGCGCACAGAAACTGCAACTGTTCGCCGAGTCTTTACCGAACCCTGTGTGCCAAAACGTGGACTTCAACGAATTGACGAAACGTCTTGGTCGACCTCTGCAGATTGTGATAGACGCGGAAACCTCTCTCGAGAGCCTTGTCTCCGGCTTTGTATCTGGTAAGTGCACCTTTAGAATGCCATTCTGCGAAGCACGATGTCTTGCACAGTAATTTCTGAGTTTTCGAATGCCACTTGTAATATCTTTGGCAGATGATCTCTGTGGCGGGCAATGGTGTCGGACGTATTTCAACGTGGCTCGTCTGGTTCAAGCGCTGCAAGGCACTCAACCGTTCCCTGTGAATTTCGTCTTAGCTTTCGACGGACAAGTTGGAGCCAGACGATTCGCCGAATGGAAAGCAGATCAACTTCATCTTAGGAAAAACGTGGAATGCGTAAGACTCGTTTTCCTTTTTAGATTTCGGACTGGAGGCTCCATACCTACAATTTTACAGGCATTTATTCATATCTCGAGACGAAGGACTCCTCCGCCGAAAGTCTGGGCCGTTCCTCCTGCTGGACTGAAGCTGTGTGTCCTGCAAATCCTCCATAGGTTGAATGTTAGGGTTTTGTTCACTTCCGAAGATCACTGCAAGGAAATTTTTGACTTCGTCAAGAAGAACGGTTTCGACGGAATAGTAGGCAGGAGCGGAGACTTCTTCGCGTTGTGTCCTGTTCGCTATTTCTCCGGAAAGCATATCAAGGTTTGTCATGAGGTAAGTGAAATTCGTGCTTTTTCTTGTGCACAATTCCCTCGACCGTCATGCGAATGCTTCCATTTGGAGATCAGGGTTGGAAAGATAATAATGAAATCACTGCATAACATGATTTGTGCTCTCCACACTTCCAAACGATTAAAAATTTCATTTTCTTGCGAAGAGTGGTGCTGTTGTGACGCAAGAGTTCAATCGTGGCGAATTTTGGAAAAATTTGGGGGTCGGGAAGAACTCGGTTCCTGTGATAAGCGCCTTGCTCAAAAGCCACCTGAAACACGAAGAAACGATGGCAAAGTTCTTCAAGACCGTGTGTCCTGAACGGGTGGATGATGTGTCAGTTTTGATGCCTGCATTGGCCAAGTTCGCGTCCGAGAAGGCAGATAGGAACTTTTCAGACGACATTTTAGATGAGAAGTGTGTCAAGAGTATCGAACGAGCCATCGAATATTTCGAAGTTCCGGAAAAGCAAGACGTGGATATTGACGTGGATGACGTGATTGTTGAGGTTGGTTCATTAATTTAATTTCATTCAACGTCGAGAACCTTTTGTTGAAAAGAATTATTTTTGATTTGCTGTCGATAGATTAATTGGAAGTATTCACTAAAAAAGCTTGAACTTCTTGTGTGTAGCTTGAAATTTGAAAATCTATTTCATGATGTGTTATCTTCGTTCGTCTTATTTGAATTTTTTTCTACGTTTGTTGGAAATTGACCAGGAAGTAATTTTCAGTTGAAATTGAAGGTCGTTGAAAAGAGAATATTATTCATGCAGATGTTCATAATTTTTTATTTTTCGGGAAACAGAAGGAGACTGAAGCGAAGAAAGACGTGCTGACTGCTAGAGAAGCATTGATTCCTCGGCTCCCAGCAAACTCGGGGCCTGCCAAAATCCCTCCGTGTCACACTGACGTGATGAAAAAGGCAATGGAACTTCACTCTGTGGGCTTGATGTCACCACATGTACTTCAAGTGCTGCTGAAGGTTCGTCTTCTCATTTCGAAGCGAAAATTTTTCGGTTGCATACTCACTGTCTTGTTACAACGAAGCCAGTGTGACCAGTAAAATAGCCTCTTTGGGAAGAAAAATTCGTTATAACGGAGCTAGTGTGGCTAATGGGTGGGGGCCTAAAAATGGCCGTGGTGTGATCGATCATTCGTAATAACGAGATTCTATTCTTGCTTTCTGGATTGAAAATGGTATCATCTGTGTAATTTTACAGTTAAATTCTTTTGACGTTTCTGCAGAAGTTCTGTGGACTAATTAAGATATTGAAGTACTGTATTGTGCAAAAGTTATCGATAATTTTCCTGGATATGCGACTACATTTCATGACATATGTTTTGAGAAATTTTAATTTCTCGAATTGTGAGGTCAGTTCCGTCGTTACGCTATTAAATCGTTATCCTGATTTGTCTGAAAATTGATTTTTTTTTTTTTTCGAAAAATGTGAACAAATAAAATAATTCGTATTTTCAGGGAGAAGTCAGAGTTCCAGTAATGATGGAATTGCCTGATCACCCCGAGATACCAAACTTTGGTTTGCTTTACCGCGATTTGCGTCGTATGGTTTATGCTGTGTTATTCAATTACCACCATCATCAATACACTTCCATTCAGCGGAAACGGGAAAAAGAGGCCTTGAAAAAGGAAGGTGACGGAAAACGCAGTAAATTTACCGCGATTTGCGTCGTATGGTTTATGCTGTGTTATTCAATTACCACCATCATCAATACACTTCCATTCAGCGGAAACGGGAAAAAGAGGCCTTGAAAAAGGAAGGTGACGGAAAACGCAGTAACACACCCGGTGAGCAAAAATTGGTGACAGCTAAAATATCTGCATGTGTTTTTTTGTGATTGAGCCATTTAGAGTCAAGCATTTATTTTATCCCATCATTTTTTCTTGGCACATTTTATGGTGCTAACTCAAGGTTATTTTATGAGGACAAGGTTTAGTTGAGGGTTTCTACTGTAGGCAAAGTAAGCTTTTTTGCAAAAGTGTTGGCAACTGAGTCTTTTATGAGAGAAAACGGCAAGAAATAATCTGAATCTTAGGTTGACTGTGTTTCAATGTACTGTATTTGATGAGGCAGGACTTTTTTGGTATTGTGTTCAATGTAGGAGAAGAGCTGTTTCTCAATGTTTTGTTCATGTTCATATCATGTGCCAACATGCAGAATTCACCAATGTTTCTAGGGAAGCTCCCTGAATTTTTTTTTTTTTATTTTGGTCCATTATTTGTCCATCATGTTAAATTTTTTGTGGCACTAAATCAGGGTTTCCTTTGAGAACACTATGGAAGGAGATTTGTGGCTCTAAATCAAGCATTGACTCTACTGTTCTTAGTAAATCAGAATATGCTAGATTCTTATACAAATTTTGTTTTAAGAGAGCAGAGCTTTTCTCCATGAGTTTGACTTTTTGGTGTAAACATGCAGGAATCCCTTATATTTCCAGGAAATATATTTCCATTTGATTTATAACTTTACAATAAAGGAAGTGATCATGCAAGATGCAACAACAAAAGTGTTTTTTTTTTTTACGGTGTGAAATCAGAAACAGAATTTTCAAACTTATTTGAAGGTTGACAACTTAGTGAGAGTGACTTTCTTGCTTCAGTGGATTATGTGGTGCCGCCAATGCAAGTTCGAGAATGGATCTTTTCGGCTGTGAATCCTTACAAGAAGGCTGAAGTTGTGGAACCAAGAAGCCTGGGCTGGCAAGTTCCAACTGTGCGACGCTTGTGGTTTGGGTGAGTCGAGATGATCCAGTGACACCTATGTTCGTTCTCAGCTGAGAACAAATTATCTTCAATTATGGTCTGGCAGAAATGCTGCTGCGGACGTGGATGTGAGAATGCATGCCTTTGTCACCTGTATGCGTGCTGAAGGGCTGGAGATTTTGAAGCCGGGAACGGTGCATGGTTACCCAGTTACCCGGCATTTCTTTGTGCTNTGCATGGTTACCCAGTTACCCGGCATTTCTTTGTGCTGCTCTGTGTCTTGAGGTATATTCTCACTGCCACTGCCCCACCGATCATCACTGTGATTGAGCTGAAAGCTGTCCTGGTCACTGCCTTGTCACGACTTCTTGGAGATCCCACGTATCTCAGGCTTCTTCAGGTAAAAATAAACCCTAAAATCGAGGTTTTCTACGGAAGAAAAATCAGTGTTTACTCGAGTACCACGCGTGCTTTTCTTTGCTGAAATCCAAAGGGTATAAAGGGATGTTTGTCATAGGTCGGTATGCACTTTGAAGAGAAAAATGGGGGTGTTCGTTGTTGATGGGTATTCAGGTATTCCATTTTACGGAAAAATTTAGAAATTCAGGTGTTCATTATATTTTATTCAAAGCTTATTGTAATGGAAAAAGATTAAAAAAAATTAGTGGAATACAGGTGTATTTATGTCGAAATTCAAATTTGGGTGTGTCATATTTTTAAATACAGCAGTTTTAGAGGCAATAAAAATGGATTTGCGCATCTTACTCAGGGATACAATGGTATGAAGTTATCAAGGAAATTTTGGACCGACAGAAGAACACTTAGGATTTGAAGCAAGTGAAAATAAATTGAATTCGGGTGCAATTCAATTTGGAATTGAAATTCCGTTGTGTTTCGTTTTTGAAAAATTGGAGTTTCAGGGTTAATGAATGGGGTGCTCTGAATACTTTTTAGGACAGTTGGAAATTTCTGAATTCTGTACAGGCAATGAGCTGTTACACTTGAAATTGTGGATGAATCTTGATGGTGGATGACGAATTAGACCAGCATATATTTTGTGCGTTCTGCACGCCGTGTTTAATTTTGTTTTATGTGTATTTAATTTTAGGCGCAGGACGTGTCAGTCAGAGGAGTTCAGTTGGCAGCCGTGATCAATTATG